ATAGGATTCACCTGACTTTCACCTTCTAAAAGTTAGGCTTGTGATTAAGGCATTATTAAATTCCTTCTCTGGTGAGTGGAGAGGAGGCATCTCCGCTTGGGGTTCATCTCACTTGTCTTGAATGAGATAAATCATCACACCCCTTCTCCCTTTTCCTTCTTGCTTTTTCTTTCTCCCTCCCTTTCTTCTTCTCTCTCTTTCTCCCTCTAAAAAAAAAAAAAAAACAAAAAAAAAAGTGTATACCTGGAATTTCTTGATATTGCTGCCTTAAGAGCTGAAGGGTGCGTGCTGTGATGGGGAACTCTTTTCTCAATGGTGCCAGCGTACACAGGCCATTGGACCATGTGTACTATGGGAGGGAAAAGCAGTGCTTCCTACACATGGTTTCCTTTCCAGAAAATGCTAATTTTTAAATTCAGAAATAGTAAGAGGCAATAGGATTCACCTGACTTTCACCTTCTAAAAGTTAGGCTTGTGATTAAGGCATTATTAAATTCCTTCTCTGGTGAGTGGAGAGGAGGCATCTCCGCTTGGGGTTCATCTCACTTGTCTTGAATGAGATAAATCATCACACCCCTTCTCCCTTTTCCTTCTTGCTTTTTCTTTCTCCCTCCCTTTCTTCTTCTCTCTCTTTCTCCCTCTCTTCCTCATCACTCTAGAAGCAGACAAGACAATTAACTTCAGCTAATTACCCAACTTTGAAGATAGCTCAGCTCAGCTAGGTGACTCTCACCTAAAAGGCAGGAATAGGGACCAATCTTTGCTTTGGTTGAAGAGCCCTTCCCAGGATACCAAATCTGAGATTTCACACCTGTTGTGAATTGGCAAAAATAACGTGATGTGTGTGAATGTACAATTTTAAAATAACAGTGTGAAAGCAGGAGGAGGAATTGGGAAAGCTGTTTTCTATCCCAAGACAATTAATTCACTATTCACAATTATTCATTCAGTCACAGTAATGGGGAGGAAAAAACTTGTGTCTTTGGAAAATAATTTTTTCTTTTGAAAAATGTTTTCTTTGGGGTGGACTGGTAATACATTTCCCTGTGCTGAGATTCAGTGTGTTTCTGCTGAAGTGGCAGAACTGGGGAGACACAGGCTTTTTTCCCCTGTAGTACTAGGGCTCAAGTTCCTGTTCTGTCTGATTTTGAGCCAGTCAAAGAGTGTACACTCAATATTTCTGCTATAGAATGAAGGTCATATGATGTCACAGCAGCAGGGAGATTAGCAGACGCTGCAGTGATAGGAATAGCTGTGTGTTAAAGTCACATACACTGAGAGATCCCAGTGGATGCCAGATGCCCTTTCCTATGGAAGCGACTTTGCCTTGTGTTTGGCATCAGTTCCTAACGATGGCACCTCCGGCCCTTCATGGTCACTTCTGTCTCAGGAGCCGTTTCTGTAGCAACTTGTTAGATGTTTGTGGTGGGTCTCTGGGCTTGAGCTTGCATTTGTGGTTTGTTTGGGCTTTTATTCCTATTCATTGCTGCCTTTGGCACAAGACATCCTCGGTAGTATTCTGGAGCACTGTTATTTCAGGGTGTGAAAGATTCTTAGGCCTTTAATCTGGGAATACAAACTACATCTGTCACCTGGGTATCTATAGCGGTTTCCAAGCAACCACAAGAGTTTATTTTTTTCTGCAATTCATATTTAAGAAATGATTTGCTCATGCATGAACCAGAATCAGCCTGAGCACCACCCCAGGAGACAGAAATTGTAAACTGTAATTTAGGCTAATTCTAGTCTAAAGCATGAATTAGAGTATTTTATATAATCTTGGAAAATATACCATATAAATATATGTAAGCACAGAACAGGTACAATTAATGTGAGCACAGTAGGAAGCTTTAAGTAACTCTGGGAATGTGAGAAACCAAGTTGGAACATATTCTTGACATGTAAAAATATTTCCCACCTGCCTTGTTTGCATAAGAACAAGGTTTTAGCAAGTACATATTTGCATGTCAAAGTTAAAAGTGGGGAAAATATTTTCACCCTTGTAAGAAAAATGCATAATCTTGGCACAGGCAATTTGCATTTAGTAAGTTTAAAGTGTCTAAGTCCTTTCATGCTATATGGAAAGTGTATGAACTTGCGACAAGGATTCCATTTCAATGAGTTGATTTGCAAAGGCAACCACGTGGAGCAGTAATTGATCTGATGTCTCTCCGTGCATTAATTTGTAATACAATTGGTTGTGGCAGTCCCCAGCGATTTGTGCTTCTGAGTTTCATCCCACCATCCTGTATCTCAAAGTGAAACAAGAAGTTGAAGTTTTAAATGCTGTGGGCTTAATTGAAACTAAGTTCCTTGAAGATGTAGTAAATTCGAGGAAATCTGGAATTCTAAAATTATACCTGATTTGGTGCTGCTGCTCATATGCACAATGGTCAGCAAATGCTGGCACAGCTGGAGCCTGTGAATCTGTGGAGATTCTCTTCTAACAGTAACGCACCCTGGAAAACGCATTTGGGACTAATTATGGCACCTTTTAGACTGTTAGTAACCAAGCTTTAGGCCATCGCTTTGAAGGCATCTTACATTCCTTCAAAAACACTCTGCAAATGTCCTGTTGCTTAAGAAATAGGGATTGCATAGACAGGCTTCATGGGTGATTTAACGAATGTGCTGGAGATCGCAGATAAACAAGATCCAATTATATCTTACCTATTCAAAATAAGGCAGTAATTATGTATATAAAAGTGAAATGTGAAAAATATCTTGCCATGTAGCTGTTGAGATAAGTCTTGTCCCTACCCCGTCGAATGAGTTGGAGAAGGCTGTGGATTCACCGTGGCAGTGTAGAAAAACAGTCAGATATTGAAAAGGCACAACTGGGAATGAGTAGATCTATTCAGGAATTTGCCCCAAGATTGCTCTCTGAATTTGAACCACACGTTATACAAATTCTGAGCTTCTGCCAGTGTCAGTCTGTTGTTCAGTTTGTTGCTGTGAAGTGGGGTTGTGCTACCCTTTCTGCTCCAAGCTTTGTTCACAAACATATGATGCTTTAGTAATAATTAATGTAACACATTAATAAAATAGCATACACTTTATTTTTTCCTTTTATTAGTTCACTTCCTGCTCCATTGTGTTTAATGTGCTAGCTGAGAGCAAAGTGAAATAAAAACAGATTTTGTAGGCCTGCAGGGAAGGAGTATTTCCTTTCTTACATGTCCTGAACAGACCTTTTAATTTCAGCTTCTCATTTTGTTGCTGCAGGGAAGGTGGGGGATTAAAGACCAAGAATGCAAAGATCCTTATGATGGAAGCAGATGCAAGTGGTGTCCTGCTCTATGAAAATATTTTGAAAGCTGCTGATAGGGAACTGTCAGGAGAAGAGCGATGTAGTGCCGTGGCTGCTGGGCACAGCTTTCCTCAGCAGAGCCTTGGAGCTGCTGTTGGGTTCCTGGGAGCCACGGGCACTATTTGGGTGCTACTCAGCTGCTCCAAACATTGTGTTTGGTGTCTTCTGGAGAATATTTTGACGGAGTATTCCAGCACAGTCAGTGCTGTGCTAAAAGTCTTTTGGTCTCCTAGTTCATAGTTGTCTTACAGTTTTGGCCTGATCCTGAGCTATGACGCTGGGCTGCAGTGAAACGGGGCACACAGTAGCACTGGGAGATGATTCTTGCTTAATACTAATGAGTCAGTTAGGGATTTAATGGCCAGCAAAATGCAATGTTTCTAAGAGTGGATGGGACTTTTTGAAAACAGTGTTAAGAGTACAACTAAAGTTAAGCCAGTATGTTGTAAGACAGTATTAGATGGGATTTTATGTGTTGTCACTGTCTGGATAGCCGTAAACTCGATAAAATAAAAAGTCTCAAGCAACCAGGCATCTCATGAATGGATTTCAGTTCCTCAGAGGACATTACCAGCCCTTCTGGCTGTTAAGGTATCACAGTTAAGAGACACGGCAAGAGGTGCGCTCGTGCTCCTGTTCAGACTAAGCCTGTTGAGGAAAACCTAACAGCATTGCAGCAGAGAAAGGGCTTTCTCGGGATGTTTTGGTTATCTACCTAATGCGAACAGTCTGTTTCTGTGAGCACACACAAGCTTATGTACATTGTGGATGGCTGGCCAGATACTGTGAACCTCTGCCTCGGCACGGTCCCATCCAGAAAGACCTTTCCCTAGCAGTGAAATAACTGGGGCCATGCACTCCGACCGCAGCTGGAGGGATGCTCCTGAGTATGCAAGTGTCCCTGCATAAATCCATGTCTCCAGGTGGGAAGTTGCTGTGGTTTAGAGATACATGCAGTGTTTTGTTGCACGCTAAACTGAATTCAGTAGGTATGTTTTATATGTATGAAGTTCAAGTTCAAAAATCAGGGCTTTTGTATCCCGTATCTCTATGGCATTTTCCAGACTTCGCCGACTCCTTTGTGTTTTGTGAGTTGACCAGAATACTGCTGTACCGTCCTCCCTCGTTTGTTCTGTGGTAGTTAATACACATAGATGCACTGAGAATTCATTTTCGATTCAGATAGGTGAATTTTGGATTTCTTGTGTAAAATGCAGTTGCTCTTCACCTTGTTACTTCTCTTTCGGGTTGGCCAGTCACATGCACTGGATGGTGACCCCTCTGCAAAAGGTGGCGCGTTCATTTTCAGGCAGGACCAACTTCAAAATTACCTTTTATGATTTCACAGGAATAAGACTGGAAGAAACCTTTCTAGTGTTGTCTTAGCTCTTTGGCCAAAATGTGAACTCTCCTATTCTTTTTGGCTTTGAAATGCTGATTCTAGCCTTCTTGTGGGTTCTTAAACACCTTCTCAAATGACCCATTTTAATAACCCAAAAGCTATTATATAACGAGCAGCCATAATTTAGTCCAAAGCTCTAGGGGACCCTTGCAGTTCAGCAATGAATAGTTAATGCAGTATAATGTTTAGCAGGTTATTAGTTTTCACTGCACAAATGCTGATCAGGGAATGCTTTTATAAGGTGTTTAAAAGAAAATGTAATTAACTGGTTGCGTGCTTCTGTTGCAGCTCAAATTGAAATTATTCCATGCAAGATCTGTGGAGACAAATCATCAGGAATCCATTATGGTGTCATTACATGTGAAGGCTGCAAGGTAAGCTTCTAAAATATTAAGTCTTAAAACAGTATTTAGCCTTTTGATAGTGATTATTTCCCTTCCTTTTTTAAAGAGCAAACATTCTGCCATAGTTGGATTGGTGGACTGCATTTCAAAGAATATGAAATCAATTGGGTTTTTTGAAGTACTGGTTTTACTGGGGTTTTAAACAAGACGTTTTTGTGACACACACACACAGAGATTTCGGGACAAGCTTCAAAAATGATGCGTTTGTGCTGTGTGAGCTGTGAACTGTCTGTCTGTGAATAAGCAGAAGAGGAACAGAGAGATGATCTGCTTCTAGCAAACCGCAGATTCTGTTCTGTGGACTCACTTGAGAGACACTTCGTGGTTTTCTTGAATCTCTCGCTCCATTTTTGCTTTGTAAATTGCTAAGGAGCTGTGTTGAAATACGTGAGATCTCTCCAACTTCTCATTTTTCTTTTGTAATCTGCTACAGTTACAAATCTATTCTGTTTGCTGTGGAACATGATGTTGCACAAACAGCACACGCTACTGGTGTTAGGCACACTCGGGCCTTCCCAGCAGCACTGCCTGTTCCTTGCGCTGCACCAAGGTTTAGGCTTTGGATTTTTTCCTGGATTTGTACCTTCAGTAACTCCAGTGAACAAGGATTACACTAGAATGGTTTGTATTTTTTTTTAGTTTGTCTCTCACAAGCAAGAATTAAATGGGACAACACTAACACCAGGCGCTGTGAAGCGAAGCACTCCTTTTTATCACTAGTGCACAACTGCAGCTCTCGCTGGGGAACGGCACGGTGCGCCTGAGCTTGTTGCTTTCTTCACGTGTGTACGTGCTGCAGTCCCATCCTGAGAGCTTCTGTATTCTTAATCTACACTTTAGATGTGATGAATGTGTATTTATGACAGTTTCTAGTCCATTATCCTGACATGCTTGATGCTACCACCCATTTGCAAAAAGTAACTTCCTTACTTTGACAATATAGAGATTTCTTTTGTGTTTTTCCAAGGAAGATTTTTGTGTTTTAATTAACACATTCCCTCAGTCTCATGGAAGAGAGGTAAGAAGGAAGAAAAAAAAATTATCTAGGAATGTTAGAATGATGCAGGACAGCACCTTCCACCCTTTGTAACTGCTGTTGCTATGGAAAATACAAGAAATGCATTGATAATAAAATGGTTACTTTTTTCAGCTTTCTGTGGTTGAGCAGCATTTATCAAATTTGAGCTGTGTGAAGTGGCAGACATTTGCAGTGAGAATTCCACTCTATGACTGTCTTGTCAAAGAGTATCGCGGAGGAGAGGTAAGAAGGAAGAAAAAAAAAATTATTTAAGAATGTTAGAATGATGCAGGACAGCACCTTCTGGAAGAGAGGTAAGAAGGAAGAAAAAAAAATTATCTAGGAATGTTAGAATGATGCAGGACAGCACCTTCCACCCTTTGTAACTGCTGTTGCTATGGAAAATACAAGAAATGCATTGATAATAAAATGGTTACTTTTTTCAGCTTTCTGTGGTTGAGCAGCATTTATCAAATTTGAGCTGTGTGAAGTGGCAGACATTTGCAGTGAGAATTCCACTCTATGACTGTCTTGTCAAAGAGTATCGAGTTATGTTCAAGGTCCAAATCCTCTTCAATCCTTAGTTAAAGGATGGTCTGGGACCAGTACACCTTGAGACTGCCTCCAGATTCATGGTGTCCCCAGACTGAGGTCAGCATAACGCTAATGCTCTTCTAAGCAGAAAACAGGCCTTTCTCAACATAGAATAGAATCATAGAATCATCTAGGCTGGAAGAGACCCTTGGGATCATCGAGTCCAACCATCTACCCTACTCTAAAGTTCTCCCCTACACCATATCCCCCAACACCACATCTAAACGACTCTTAAACACAGCCAGGGATGGTGACTCAACCCCCTCCCTGGGCAGCCTGTTCCAATGCCAACATGGCTTGTTGCGGAACAGGAACAGGCTCCAAAGGAAAGGAAGGTTGCCAGCTCTAATACCTTTTGCTTCATCTTCATGCGGGTCTCTGGCCTTGCCTTTGCCTAAGTCCTGCGTGTGAGAAAAGCCCCCACCAAAAGCAGCAGAGGACACCACCCTCACAGTCACCTTAGTTAGTGTGTAGCTGGAGGCACTTAGCACTGGGGTAAGACAGATCCAGCCTGCGAGCGTTTCTCCATCAGAATGGCTATACTTTCCTAGCAATAAAGGCAAACATGAGTTATGAGAAAATTCCTTTGTGCACCTCCAGCAGTCAGAATAAGCGATGCCAGCCTGAGAGCGAGGAATGGGTGTGCGCTTCCTTACATTTGACAACAAACAGCTTTCCTTCAAATTCTGTATAAATTGAGTTCTCTGGGAGCTCTGTGCAATCCTTGCTCTGCTTCTGAGGATCCTACCAGAATGGTCAGCTGGTGGGAAGGGCACAAGGCAGGCGAGCAGTATGCTGGGCACTGAAACCCCTTGGAGCCTCCAAAGCAGAGTGTACCTGAGGAAGACAGTGCCCCGTTAGGTGAAGCTGGGCATTTTTGCCTTCTCTTGGAGTATCAGAGTGAAGCTTTCTAGTCATACAATTTCAGGCAGAATTGTAAAGCCATTGAATATCAACTTAGTTAACCAAATTACTTCCTTCCAGGAGGGAAATAGCTCTGAAGCTCACTCTTCTTTATTGCCAGAGCCCAGATGACCTGCAGGTAGTGACAGGGGAGTCTTGTGGGCACGAGTCACAGAAGGAGTTTAAATGATCACGGCCTAGACGGCATTTAAAATACCCTGCTGTAGCAGATGGATTTTGTTTGTGCTATGCTCTTCCACAGTAATGTCAACAAAGTCTCACCCAACAGAACTATTTTGGCTGGTGAAAAACTTGGCATAGCCTGGCTTCTGCCAAATGAGCCAGGTGTGTATTGGTATGTTTTTTTCCTCAGCTTTTCTGGGGCTATGATCTCTGCAGGTTTGAGCACGCTTCCATCGCTCTTCATGTTACACTAAACCTTCTGGTGTAAAAAGTCCTTTGCTATGAAGAGCTAGTTCCCAGTCCTGCACTCATTCCTGGAGCTGATGTCCTGCACCAGCAGCCGATCCCACAGACGTGAGCGGGTCCTGCACAAGCCCACCCATGGGCATCAGCCTGTGGGCACAGGGCCTTCTCCTCAGGAGGGTCCCACTGTGGCTGCTGCCCTCCCAGCCCAGCCCTGTCACCAGTGGGCTACCGGCAGCAGCAAAGGGGGATGTTTTCAGCTCTTACTGGCTTTTGCTCCAGTTTGATGTGAACTTTTATGTTACTTAACAGTAACGTTAACTTAAGAGTTACTGTGTTGCTAATAACCACCAGAAATATAACTTATTTAAAACCTGAAGTTTTATTTGCAAAGACCTACTTTACAATCTTAATCTGCATCACGTATGAAATCACAGGCAAGCTCCTGTCAAAATGACTTTGAAATCAAAATGATCCTGTCGTGACTCTTGCATTTCATATAATTGAAAGTTTTCTGAGTAGCTTTTGTTGTTATATTGTGTTTCACATAACTAGAATGGAAGATTTGCAATGAAGCCAGTAAGTATTTCTTGACAAGTTTTCATTTCCTACCTTGCTGTGGTGTTACTGGCTGGTTTTATGAAGTTAGTGGCTGCGTTTTGCACAAACGCCAGTGAGTACTCCCAACCCTAACCCATAACCTACTTAGCTGAATTTGAATCTGCCTTTAAAAAATAAAATTTAAGCCCCCCTTCTCCTTATCCCCTTTAGTAAAAAAATAAAGTTCTTAGCCAGGGTCGGTTTATGTTCTATCTAGCAACACTCCTGTGGCTTATTAAAGAGGATTTTTTTTCTGTCCGACCATTGCTGCTACCCATTATACAACGTGTAATGAGGGTAAAGGGAGGATGAGATTAATCATGTAAGACTTTTACTCAGAAGCATGGAGGAAGAATGACACAAAGACTGTACCACAACCCAGAAAAGTTTATTCTCGTGTGTAAGATTGGAAATACTGCTGTTGTAGTGGCACTACTGCAAAAAGTGGTGTCTGTACGGAGCGGCTCCACCGTTAGCTGTGGGAAGCCATTACCAACCTTTTGCTCTCTGTTGGGGACTGTGCTGAGAGAGGGACTGGTTTGTGCACATCCATATTCTTTTCTCAGAGCTGAAAGCTGAATCCAGTTCAGCATTGTCAGAAAATACCTGGATGCTTCAAAAGGCCATAGCAAAGCATTTCGTTTGAAATTTGTTAATGAACTATGTCTTGTAATTTGCAGCTGCAGTTCCTTGCTTTTTCTGTCAATAGTGTGAGTTTGTGCCCAGGTGACCCACCCCCCGATGCGTTAGTGTGATCCCTCTCTTTGCCTGTTTGCAGTTGGTCCCATAAACACATCCATGCAGGGGATTTCTGGGCATTTCTCAGCTTTTCAAAGGTCTGTAGGTACTGGCTTTTATCTCTTCTGTCTTTTGTGACCTAAGATGGTTTTGTTCATGGTAACTGTAAGGAATGTCCCCCTTTGTTACTTCTTGAAACAATACCTGGAGTGTTGTCACTTGACACCTCATATTACTTTGTTCATTTGTTTCATTCATTCACTTTCTTTACCAGCCAATTTTTCATTACTCTGTTGAACAGGGAGTGTCATATTGGAGTTGCAATCATTTACTTCCAATTCATGTTTTTGAAGTTTTTGGTGTTTAATTTTTTGCCCAGCCATGTGAGATGAGCCGTGCTCTGGACAGCACTAGGCAGAAGCCTGGTATAACCTGATAGACACAATCTCACTCCTCTCTTTGTCTTCAGTGGTGCTATAACTTTGTTATCAAATACCTTATTAACAGAGTTTATTAAACAGTATTGCTGCAGCAATCTCCTTCCTTTACAGCTAAAATATGTGCTCATTATCATAAAAGGGTTAAAAATCCAATTTGAATGTTCACCTGTCTTTCATATGACAGTGTATTTTTCTGATGCATCTTTGAGGAAAATTCGCAATAGTTTGCTTTAGAAAACAGTAAAAGAATGAACCCCCCAAGTAATTGTTAATTGCTCAGAATATTGCAAAACCTAATGATACGTGGAAGTCTTTAAGTATTAGCCATAAATCACGGGATTATGAATAAACCTTTGTTGTCACAGGCTTGCATACAGTCATTCCAAAACGTCTGCCATTAGGATGCAGCAAGGCAGCTGTCAGCTGTTTTCTTGTAATTAAACAGCCAATGAGCAGCTAATTAAGACATATGTGTATACAGAAGTGGAAGTGGGTATGTTAATGAACTGTAGGAATCAATTCATTAAATGAAAATTTGTCAAAAGACCAAACATGAGATCAGCATTTCAGGCTGTGCCGCAGAGGAGAGGAGTCTGTGCTGCGCCGGGGGGGACAGGGGGGGCACAACGGGCTCCTTCCCCGCGAAGGAGCCAGCGCAGGCACCGCCGGCTGTGACACCGAGCGGGGAAGGTATCGAAACTATTAATAGACTTTGCAAAAACTGCTATTTACATTTCAAAGTTCTTTTTTAACAAGTTGTTATTCAAACTGACTCGCAGATGAAAAGTTCCTGCGCCCTTTTTTCCCAAACTTGATTTCTTGGCAGCATATGAAAACCCGTATATTGTGTTGTATATAAATAGGAGTCTGAAATGCAGAGATGAAGCAGTGGCTTGTAATCTGCTCTGCTTTTCTCTGGCACTGTGTTAATACAGCTACATAAAACAGGAGACGTGCAAAGCTCAGTGACAACTCACCAAAATCAGGGGGAGACTGGGCTCCAGGAGCGCCCTCCCCGAGACCCTGGCTCAGGCCGTGCCGTCGGGCACAGCGCTGTGACACAGTGACATTCTACAGCTCAGTAGTAGTTTTGTGTGTTTGATGGAGAGGGGTCTGCTCTGCCTGTGGCCCATTAGGCAACCGTCTGAATGTGAAATGATGGCTGTGAACACACATGCAATTAGGAGCATGTGGCCTGGGCTGGTTTGCATAATGTTCGCGTGTATCCACGTGTACCACGCATGCATCCACCTCCTCCTTCCTGCTGGAAAAATTATAGCCAGCTCCCTGCCTCTGGCAAAAGCAAGGAAATAGAACAACAGAATATAGTGTCTCTCCTTTTCTTCTAGTAAAGAAGGGGCAAAAAACAACCTAGGAAGAAACTGTATTTACTTACAGAAGGCTCCTGTGATAGGGGCTTCCCCACGTCTTATAATGGTATGAGAGCCCAAGAAGGTTAGAAAACTCACAAATAATTGACAAGAATATAGAAGAACTTTGAGAGTAAAAACCCCTCACTTTAACTTCATTATCAATTCAATCCCAAATTTCACATCTCTCTATTTCTGATCTGGACAAGTTTAGATTCTTTTCTGAAGTCTGAGTCAAAGGGGTTTTTTTTGCTTTAGCTACTGCTGATGTTTTCAACGTGCTCATGTAACGTCGTAGGGTTGGTTTCTAAAAGCACTCTGCTACGTCTCTGGTTTGTAAAGTGCAAGTGCTTTTAAAGGCCCCGGTTTCAGGCAGTTCTGCTCTATTGAAAATTTAGCTTCGAGCTGTAACTTAGCTGATATATTGTACACTAAAATGTATTGAGCAGCTCTGTCTCTAGGGAAAATCTGGAAAAGCAAACAGCCCAGTATTTTCTCCATTATGATACTAAAAATAATCCTCAGCCTGACAAGAATATTCTTAATAAAGAGAAATATGCTAAACTGGCAATGCAGGCTCAGTATACGTTCCAGCTAATGGAAAATGTATAGATCTTGGAGGTTATTGGGCCAGGCTCACTTTACATGTTGAGGAAGCTGACTTTCAGGATCTCAGTGGTTGCAGAAGATTTCATATGGTTCACGTGTTAAAAGCCTTTGGAGAACTGGAATTCTAAGGGAGTGATGATGCAGAGATGCAGACCCTCGATGAGTATGTCACGGGTCAGGTCCATCCACAGCCCCGTCTTTCCAGCGCGTGGCACTGCCCCCGCACGTGTACTGCCCTGGCAGGGGATGACGGGACCGGAAGGTCAGCTGTCTGCTTACCTTACACTAAAAAACAGTTGAAAGTTCACTCATATAGATACAAAGACCAGAAAAAATGGGTGAGAAACAGGGTACAGGAAAACAGGGTTAAAGACAGGCATCTTCAGTTTCCTCATTTTTTTCATACTCCGTATTTCCCCATTAAAACTTTAATAAATTAAAGAGCACAGCTGACAGACCAGTGTCATCCTCCTAGGATGGAGTGGGGACTTTATCTTGGTGTTTGCTCACGTTTCTGGCTGCAGGAAGTTTGCTGGGAAATCTCTTACTTGTCATGCAGAAATCCTTCCTGTTTATTTCATCAAGCGTCTGGACAGAGTGTGCATGTGCTGAGAGACTCCAGCATGTGGCCTTCAAATAAATAAAATAATTGGTAAAAGTCCAGCTTTAATTAAAAGGTGCCCAGCCTTTCTGAGGAAGTATTTTCTTTGCAGTGCTGTTAATTAATCCATTATGTGGCAACATAAAACTAAAATACTGTGCTCACTGATCTCAAATGCCTCTTTAGAGTGACTACATCTTCTCAGAATCCTTGTGAAGTAGGTATTACACACGCACCAGCTTCTGTTTGGACAGTCTGTGGCAAAAAGATGAAATGAGCTTCAAAGCAGAGAGCTGGGGCAGTGGTTAATAACGTGCACCTTCTGGTGGAGAGAACTGAGCTGGAACGACTGCGTAACCTTCCAGCCCTGGCTTCCTTCGGAGATGGGTCTACCCACTGCAGTTGACTCAGAAGAGAGATAATATGTAAAATCTGTTTCAGCATCCTCCCTCCTTAAAAACCTAAATCCTGGGCCAAGTTGAACAAAACCTTGATTGTCAGCACCGAACTAATTAAGAAAAAACATTTTAGAAATTGTGCTTTGCAGAAGGACCTGCTCAGCATCGTGCTCTGTATTTTTAAATACAAATTTAGATTGGTGAAGCTGAACATCAGAGCCTGCTACTGTCATCTCCAAAGAGTGGAACAGGAGAGCAGCTGTTGAATCCTCCCTGTTTCGGAGATCTATGCTGACCCAGGAAAGAGAGGAAATCTAGGTCTATAATTAGTTTTATCTCATTTGGGAAGACTTAGTGTACCATGTGCAATATGGGATCTGTAACATCAGTGAAAAAATGTGTAATTCCTTTATGTGTCATAACACTTTTTAATGAACTGTTTCATACTAGTTACTGGTTTTTGTTTGTTTCTAGGAGAGAGGGACTAAAAAAAACCAACCCTCTTATCTTCCTTTAGTTGACTGTAGTGCACATGAAGTTCATTTTGTGTTAGGTAATGCTGCCTTTCAGAGTCCATCAGTGAACTGCTTCTTGACTTGTATTTTGCAATTCTGTTACAGGGCTTTTTCAGGAGGAGTCAGCAAAGCAACGCTACCTACTCCTGTCCTCGTCAGAAGAACTGTCTGATTGACCGAACCAGTAGAAACCGCTGCCAACACTGTCGATTACAGAAATGCCTTGCTGTGGGGATGTCTCGAGATGGTAAGCTCTGCTAACACATACCCGAGCTGCAACAAGTCAAAGAATGTTTAGTATACTGAGTGTTCAACTAAAACAACACAGGATTTAAAAGTTAAGTGTGCGTTGGGCTGATAGTTGAGATCATCCAGTAGTTTTTTATGTTGCTATATAGTCATATATATATACATCAGAGCATGTATAAAGTCCTTGGATTTGGTTTTTTTCCTACTCATCTATTACAGGTCCCGGTTAAGAGCTTTGCCTCTGGTCACTTCTTGAAGATGCAGTTTTTGGTCTAATGTTAATACTTTCCCTATGTGTTCACTGCAATTAAAGTGATATACTATAGTTGGAAGTAACACTCTGATGGCCGTATTGCCACAGATCAGAAATATTTCACAATAGAGAGAGAAGTTTAAATGTCTGTATAATGAATGATGGAAAAAATGCAAAGAGCAAATAGTACAGTGGTTTTTCAAGGATAGAATTCTAAAGAAAATGTGTTGCAGTGCTGTTAATATTAAGCTCAAAATTACACATCCTGTAATGACGAAAACCCACCTCTGTAAGAGGGCAGCTTATGTAACCCAGAGCTGGGTTTGCAGCTGATCCTTGCACACCTCCCCCATAGATGTACCGGAGCTGCCATCGCTTACCCAACGTGGAGATATGACTCAGTCTGTTCCCCTCTAATAGTGACAGCAACGCTACATCTTCTACGAATCCGTGTACATTACTCTGTGTACATGAGGCCTGATTAAGGAGATCGTTTTCAGATTACATTTACTTCTTGAATTACTATGTCTTTTTTTTTTTTTTTTTATTTGGGCATGAAACTAAAAGCCTGAAACAGTTGATCATGTAACAACTAGTTCCTTCGACACGTTTGCTTTCCTGTAGAATGGTAGAAGGTGGTAGTGACCTTCCTCAACGATGAGGCTTTTCCAGCTGATACAGGTCCCAGAAATCACATACCATGTTCTTAGGAATTCCTGGATGTGCCAAACCAGTTGCTTCTGCCTTATGCTTAATAGTCAGACTTCTCAAAGTAGTAATAATTTTGTGGAGTCATACATGCACGTGCACACACATACATACAGTTTTAACAATAGTTCCCTGGGTAACAATTTGTGCTTGTCCTAGTGAGCTGCGCTGGCAACAGGTTCTGTGGTTCTTCCCATGTCCTTTGGTCCGACAGCAACAGCACCTGCTTTTGATACTCTTTGAGACAGACCCCACTGTCTGTCCCTAACTCTGGGTTCACTCTGTAGCACGAACACACAGCTGGTGGGAATGGAATGGGACACTTCATCTCAGGCCAGTATATTCTGGTTTAGCTTCTGCTTTTCCAGGTAGGATTTGAATGCTGAAGAGATGCATCTGTCAACTTCAGTGGATATATAAGAGAAAATCTTTTCAGTATAGAAGGGGAAAGTTAATTAATTAAGCTAAAACAGTGACTTCTAATGGTCCATTTATGCAGCATCTTAAAACGGTCTTTTAAAAAGTAGATGCCACAGCTGTTACCTGTGACTGACAGAAGTGATTCTTAGCTCTGCCCATCCTGCTGATTTGCCTTTTATACTGTGTCCTTACCTGTAGTATTTAACAACCCGAGATAATAAAACCGCAGTAGTGGATTTGTAGAAATGTAATCTATCGTGTGTCTGTATTTCAGCTGTAAAGTTTGGTCGAATGTCAAAAAAGCAGAGGGACAGCCTGTACGCGGAGGTGCAGAAACACCGAATGCAGCAGCAGCAGCGAGACCATCAGCAGCAACCAGGAGAGGCAGAACCACTAACACCAACATACAATATCACCACCAATGGGTTAACAGAGCTACACGATGACCTCAGTAATTACATTGATGGGCATACCCCTGAAGGTAGCAAAGCAGACTCTGCAGTTAGCAGCTTCTACTTAGACATACAGCCTTCTCCAGATCAGTCGGGTCTTGATATTAATGGAATCAAACCAGAACCAATATGTGACTACACACCAGCATCGGGCTTCTTCCCTTACTGTTCTTTTACAAATGGGGAGACCTCTCCAACTGTGTCCATGGCAGAATTAGGTAATGAGAGAGAAAAGCTTCCATTGTAATTGTCTTAATATAGTACCTTTTGGATTAAAGTGACACATTTAGCCAGGTGATAGCGAGAATGCTGCTTCAGTACAGCTGGGAGCGTGTATGGGCTTTCTTCTGTGAAGGGCACAGCACCCTAATTCGGGGTACGTGGGGAACACCCTATGGAAGGGGACTAAAAATCCCAGGAGCTTGTGGTTGATTGGCTCTAGTAGTGTTGCTTTTGTTTTCAGTCCTTGTAAGAACCCTTTGAATACTGATAAACAAGCTAATTTTTAGTGCTGAGCAAACAGACAGTATTTCTTTATTTGCAGATTATTTTTGAACATCTGAACTTCTTTTTCATTACCTCAATGCTCTTATTTTCTAACAAAAAGTGATGAGGCTGTTCTTTACCTGTACCTGGGAAACATGAAACCAAAGCACCAGTTTAATCAGAGGGCAGCTCTCCTTGCCACTGGTTGAAGAGAATCTGGCTCCAGATACTTCAGAAAATTTTTGCATGTAGCAACTTTTGATAATTTCCCTGGGAACCTTATAATGCCCGCAGTAATAAGCACGTTTTACTTGAAACTCTTCCCTGAATGATTACGCTACGGCTGAATTCCACAACTATGACTTGTCGTGTCTGAGACTGGAGCTGGAGCGTGCTGGGTGAACTGGTTATAAGCAGACTGGAACAGGACATTAGAGAAGTGGCTTTTAAGATTCTATTACTTATATAAGCCGTCAGGTGTTTGAAACGGGGATTTTGCTTGCTTAAGCAACACTTTTGCTAATTATTCCATTATGAAAACCTAAAAATACCTTGAAAAATCAGGTATTCCAAGTTAAATTTTTCTCTTTTTGCTAACTTTTTTTTAATTAGAGGCAAGTATATGATATGAAATTTTGCTTGATTTATTTTTGTGTTCTTTTGAGAAATTTTGCAGAGCAGAAGGGACAAGAAGGATTACTTTTTAATATCCTTATGTTGCAGAATGCAGTTCCCTGCGATATAATTTGTTGTGACAGCCAAAATATTGTGTCTGGCTTGAATTCAAATAACTTCAGTTACAGATAAGTAAAAATGAGAAGAAAAAATCAGGATAAAGGCTGTGTTACCAGCTTTATCTCAATCAAATCGTTGTTAATATTCTCATGGGAGTTATTAAAAGATCTACATTAAACCCACAGAAAAAAAGAAAGGGCTTTTCCTTCCTAGGCCAGGTGTTGAGTGTGGAACACTGGCCTAAAATGAGTTTGTTGTGTTGCTTACCTGTATTTACATGGTGCTCACATTTAAACCCCAGAGAGCGTGATGTGAGTGCCCAGCACTGACACTGCCAAACAACGTTTGAAGAATGTTTGTCTTCCAGACTAAGGCTTCAATTTAGGAAGGTGCGGCTGTTCAATGAAAGTATTTAGGTGTGTGCTGAAATACAGCCCAGAACTGAGGCCAAGGTTTGGGAATAACACAGGAATATTTCACCTTTTGCATCCTGCAAGGGCACAGGTGGAATGCTGTCAGTTGCTGCAAATGAGAGCAAATGTTTTAAGCAAACACTTTTAAAAACAAACAAACATTGCCCTGAAATACACAAAAGCTCTGATGACAACCAAAGAGTAAACTGCCTTATATTCTATATTACTGATTGCTCAGGTAGCACATACAATCTAATTTTACCTCAGCTGTATGCCAAAGACTTTTCAGGTAGTACCTTACATCAAACCTTAATGCAGCTTATAAGATACTACCCAGACCGATTGGTCCAGCAGTTCAATCTGTAGAGAGTTGGGTTTGGCCATTATTAAACAAAGCAAGTTTCAGAGAAGACCTCACACTTGAGTCCCTCAGAACACCCCCGTGCTGTCAGTGACCACCGTTCTTACTTGGTTTAAGCCTTTTCAGTGCCCTAACCTGCAAAAGCACCGACTGCAGAACTGGGTGAGACGAGTTGCCAGGCCTCTGTTTGGCACGTGCTAGAACAGGAGAACAGATGTGTCTGGAGAATCGGGGTAGAAAAGAGAAAGACAAAGCAGAAGTGGAATTCAGGTGTCTAAATGCTATTCATGCTTTTGAGGGTGTTCCTAAAGGTTTATGGAATCAAGTTTTATTAATAAATACAAATCTGCCCTATGGGCCTTTTAACCACGTATAGCAGTAGAAAATAGGTTTTTTATATTTAAAATGTTGTATAGACATTTTAAATCGTGCAGTTAACAAAGCAACTACTCTGAAGCTGAGGAAATAAACCCTTGTCTTCAGTGTGTTGTATTAATTATCTGGATTCTGTAATAAGTGTAGTTGCCTAATACTGTTTTAATAATACAAGAGTAAAAAAGAAAAGAAACTTTCTCATGTGATAGTGTCCTGCTTGACAGAACACTAAACGGGTGCTAACTATCTGTATTTCTTTATTAGAAAGCATCTTTTGCATAAAACACAAATGAGTTTAGGTTGTGAGGACCCGCTGCCTGGCCGGCAGCGCTGTCACAGCCCCACACGATGGAGGTCCCTGTGCCCTGGCCTGAAGGGCCCCTCAGCTCGCTCAGTCCCTGTTGTTGTAGTGCCGTTCTCAGCCCTGGTTTCAGAGCTGACTGTTCCTGGAGGCAGCGGGGCCTGGCAGGGAACGCGCCGTGCTGGACGCTCCCGGGTTTCCCGGTTCGTTGGATGTTAGAGCCCCCTCCCGCCGCCGCGGGCCCGGGCGGGGGGCGCCCCCTGGCGGGGCCTTTCCTTGCCCCGGCCTCCTGGCGGATTGCGATCAATGCCCTTCTTTTCAAAGCACAGTCCAAGGAGATCTGAAATTAAAGCATTTTTTTGGAAGAGGTAACCCTCTCCCCGCCCTCCCCGTTGCAATTGGAACATGCTCGCTTTCTCATGTCTGGAACTTTGCATTTTTAACGCGTGTCACTTTCTGGTCTTTCTTTTAGAACATCTTGCACAGAATATTTCCAAGTCACACATGGAGACTTGCCAGTACTTGAGAGAGGAGCTACAGCAGATCACATGGCAGACTTTTCTGCAGGAAGAAATCGAGAACTATCAGAACAAGGTATAAAAGCTTGCCAAACTATGGCATGCTCTTTTTTAAAGCATGGTATTTCTATAACACACTGCAAAATTCACTTTTTCACTGCTTTCTGTTTACTATCAGGAATGTGTATTTTTGTGTGTTTTCAAAAAATAATAGGCTAGAATCAAAAGCAGCAAGATGGTTAGGATATCCTTTGCATTTGTGGTTTTTACAGGTACAGGAAAAGGCAAAGCTGTATTCCTATAATCTGTCTGTGATTGATAAACAAGGATAAGAAACCAGAGGCGCTTTTTCAGTCCTAAATGGCATGTTGTTTTCATTTCTTAATTTGTAATCTCCTGGATCAACACCACCAAAAAAAGCTGAAGCCACCGAGTTTTGCAATTTTACATGGTGTGGTTTGTTTTGAGCTTACGAACACAGAACTGTGGGATTTCCAGCCTCCTCTGCCTGGCTGTAATCCTCCTCCTGCCACACTTGTCCCCCAGGCTCCCGGCCGTACCTGCAGAGCAGCAGCGCGTTGCTGCCGCCACACACCTCGGGCACCGAGATCTAATCCATGCTGGTATTGCCAATATGCCTTCCAGCCATTTTTGGAAAACTGTCTTGGGAAGCACTATTAAAGTACACTGTTCTTTGAAGATATTTTTTATTTCCACCAAAAAAAATACTTGATCTCAAAGAAAATAATTTTTCCACTCGTTAGGTTATGTCATTCTGAATTATTATCAACATATGAAAAAATCACTACTTGCACACCTTCTTTGTATTGTTAACAAGATGATCTTCATATATGTATATTTCATACATATCTTTATGAAGATGAGCAAGTTAGATAACGTACGTTCAGTACAAAATACAGAAGTTGATAGGAAAAATGTGGTTATGCATTGCTAGTGTCAATTGGCATTTTCTTTTGATGCAGTGATTAAAATTCCCACTGAAATCACTGGAATCTTTACAGATTGACCTTTTTGGCTTATGAAAGTAAAACCCCTCCCACGTGGATCTCTTCTGCCAACACTGAAGAAGTCTTCCATGTTTGCACAGTCACTTGTCCACCCGGGGCTTTGGCTTTGAGGTTAATTCCCCGTGTCTTACCAGCAGACTGGAGCCAGGAGCGCTCCACAGAATTGACTCTGCTTCATTTTTCAGCTCAGTTTTGCTTTATGAAAATGAGCTTTCCAAACCTTGATTAGTAATTTTTCAATTTTTCTTCTCTCTCAAACAGCAAAGGGAGGTAATGTGGCAGTTATGCGCAGTCAAAATAACAGAAGCTATACAGTATGTAGTGGAATTTGCCAAACGCATTGATGGCTTTATGGAACTGTGTCAAAACGATCAAATTGTGCTTTTAAAAGCAGGTATGTGGGTCAGTTTTAAGGTCTGCTTCTATTAGTTTTGACTGAGGAAGTTGTTCCCTGTATACAGTGATTATATACACATACATACATGTGCTGTACAATGAGCATATAAAATAATAAGGGGGGAAAACCTTACGCATTGTCTGTGTCCGTATGAAGTACTGTTCCTTCGTAGTTACTCTGGACAGAGTGACATTTTCATTATCAACAAAGGGAGCAGTGAGTGCGTAAAGGTGGAAAAGTTGGATTCAGACTTTTTATTTTGGCTTACCTTAATAGTGAATGACATATTTCAAGGTAAAGGTCCAAGATTGTTCTATGCAAGACGCTGTAGAATTAATGCAGTTTACAAATACGGGACAATTTTGTCAAAGCTTCGTGAACATAAATGTAAATGAGCTGCTTTGACTTCAGAGACTTCATTCCTCTAATAAAAAAATATTAGAGTTTATTAGCGTTAACTAAGTTGCTTTAGCAAAAACTTCTTAAGGGGGTTTGTGGGAATTCTTTTAATTCTGGGAGCAAATCAAGCTCTGCTCTGGTACACCACAGGAACCTACTGCCCTACTCCATTGATACCCAAGGCAGAGCGTAGGAAATTTTTTAATCCTCACTTGCTCTTTGCAACCGAAGTCTCTACTCAAACAGTCAAACGTACATTGTTTCTGTTTTAGGGTCTTTAGAGGTTGTGTTCATCAGAATGTGCCGTGCCTTTGACTCCCAGAACAACACAGTCTACTTTGATGGCAAGTATGCTAGCCCAGAGGTTTTCAAGTCCTTAGGTAAGGAAATGTCAAGTGTTGTATCTTAAAAAAAACCAAACCAAACAAACAAAAAAACAGAATAAAAATAATAAGGTGGAAAAGCAAGGGGACAGCTGCTTTGAGAAATTCAGACTATAGTATTCAAATAAAAGAGTTCCAAAGCTCAACTGCTTATTTTGAAAGCAGTCATGCTGGCTCTGTTTTGAGGCCAAGCTTATTTCAGGAGTTAAAACAGCTTAACTCCATGCAGTAAAGGACTGTTGGTGTTGAAATTCAACACTTAGATCAGGGTAGAGCAGTCTGGACACACTTGTTAAGAAGAGAAGCCCAGATTTCAGATCTAGTGTAACATTTTCTACATCCTGTTGGAAAAGGCAGCAGATTTTAAGCTAATTTTGGATATACTGACGTTACTGCTTGGAAGATGTTAATAGTGTTTTGTAATACGCAAAGTCCAGCTATTTGCCAGTAAAATACTGTAAATGAATTTTTTTATTTACCCACAGTTTATCATTTTGAAACTGTTTTCTGTGTATTATTGCTGATTTTAAAAGGATGCACCTCACTGGGTATAGCTTTGAGATGTAAACCAACAGGCAGCAACGGAGAATGCTGTACAATTACTGAAGTATTCTCTGCTTTTCTAAAACACCTCAAGGTGCGAGATCTGTGTGCAAACAATTTGGAGAACACAGTGTCAGGTGTGGGTTCCAGTGAAACATAAGTACATAGACATGGAGGCTGGGTTGGGGCTGAGATCTGCAGAGGAGAGCCCTCTTCCATCAGGTTGCAATCCCTTCAGAGTAGGGCTCCACTTCTCTGAGCTGTGTAATGGCATGTGTAACAGCAGAGTAACCTGACTGACACCTGTGTGAGCAAGAGAATGGATGAAAGGAGGCAGAGTTCCTTTTCTGCATGAAGAGCTTTCAGACCTTGGCTTCTCCCTTTGCTCCTGCATGTACCTTGTACACCTCTCCCTCTTCTGTGTGCTCAAGAGTCTTAAAATCAGCACTTTCAAAGTCCAGCTTTCAAACCTCTAGTCCACAGTGACATGAGAAAGCTGTTTAGAATAGAAACAAAGCTAAACCCATTCTGAGCTTGAAAATGGGCTTGGATTTTATCTGTATTTACCCCAAAAGAACCCAATGTGGAAAAGATACAATGTGCCAAATCTTCAGATGGCTACCTGCCAGGGTGTGGGAGCTGGGGACAAGTGGGAATGGGAAATAAGCTCAAGCACAAGTGAGATCTCACTGCCATCACTCCACAGTCCTTAAGGAGAAGACCATTCACCTATGCAGTACTGTACATCCATTTTTCATCTCCATCAGAATAAAGCAACAAATCTGTAGCTCTGAAGCAGTTTTAAACATGTGGCATGAGCTGTACCTTCTTTTCGGCAGGTTGTGAAGACTTCATTAGCTTTGTGTTTGAATTTGGAAAAAGTTTATGTTCTATGCACTTGACAGAAGATGAGATAGCTTTGTTTTCTGCGTTTGTTCTAATGTCGGCAGGTAAGAGATAAAGGTTTGGCAGAGGTTGTTTTATTTTGAAGTGTTTTTAATTATAATGTTAAGACTATTGGACAGTGTGAAATGTCACCACCTTTTTCAGTGTCTCCTTCTTGACCAAAACTTTGATTTTAATAAACGCATTAAAAGTATGACTTTAGGAATAAATTTATGAAGTGGGAAACCCTAATTTAAGCCCTTGTTTTCCAAATTTTCACCTCATTGAGGACTCGGCTTCTTTGCAAAAGCTTAAATGCATGTGAGTGAGAGCACTGGGTCAGTGCAGGTGAGACAGGCAGGAGGCAGCCACTGCCTCTCTACACTGCATGCCAATGCTACTTGTCTGCTAGGAAGTTTAGGAGCTTGTTTGGTTTTTTTCTAATAGCTGAGTATCTGCTTCTGATTTTTCTGTATGTCACTGTAGATCTTAGCAAGCAGATTCACTCCAACTACTCAGTCATTATGTGATTTATTCATTTCCCACTAAAAAGTTGCTAGCTTCATTTTGTAAATACCCTGCATTTTACAGACCTCGTTAGCAAATTATAAATCTTGCTCAGATAAGCTGCATTCTTCTAATTAAGGGCCTTATAAAAGTAATTTTAAATGCACATAATAAATAAGGTAATTTTCTATATAAGAGTGTATAAGAAATGGAAGTTGCAAACGAGAAAGATAATCTATAACAGACTTTAGTAACTTCCTGATGCACTGTGATTGCTGTGTGCAGTACTAGAGGTGTTAACTCCCTTTATATTTAGATCGCTCATGGCTTCAGGAGAAAGTGAAAATAGAGAAACTCCAGCAGAAGATCCAGCTAGCGCTTCAGCACGTCCTACAGAAGAACCACCGAGAAGATGGGATTCTAACAAAGGTAAGACTCGTACTGTGCCTTGTCACCTACCTGTGAAAGTACACTTTCTTATGAACAGCATCCTGATGATGGCGTAAAATCTTTTAAGCAGTTAATTTGTTATTTATAAACCCAGAATTCTTTGTTCAAAATCAAGGTGCTTAGCTGAAACTATCTACTAAAAACTAGAAGTGGTGAAATAATGATGTATTAGGGAACAAGGTTGTTAATGGTCTGAAAAGAAGTATTTTAATGTTGAACTTCATGAAAGCTGATGAAGGTTTTTATCCTATTTCTCCTACACATTTCTGCCACCCAGAATATTATTTCAGCTCTACAACATGCATGCCTTAATCCTCATGAAATCTCACCCTGTATGACAATTAAGTTGTTAGAACGTGGAATATGCAAACCAACCTTGTTTTTCAGTCCTTCATCAGAAGTTCCCCACACAAGCTTCTTCTCAGCAGCTCTTCCAAATATTGATGCCTAGGGAAGGGAAAGGAGATAGTACATGCTATTAAGCTAATCTAAAGTATCTTCACTTAATTTTTCAAAAATGGAAGAGTGGTGTGACATTAAAAAAATAAACTGAAGAACTGGGGAAGGATAGGCACCTCCTTACAGAGCTACTAGTTCCTTTTAGAACTCTACACAGCCAGAAAACTTATCATTAGTTTCACACCACAGAATTAATTACAATAGAGGCAGGATGGTCCAACCCAGGCTTTGCAGATTGTCCTCATTTCAAATCCTAACTCATGTAAGTCTGTTCCCAAGCATCTACTTTGGATACTTTTGTTGGAAGAAAGTGTCTTTCATGTGCTTTGATAAAAATAATTTACTCAGTAAGTTCAGGGAGTACCCTAGTAATATTTTTGAAGTACATATTTTTCTGCTCTGTTCCTTATTTGGCATAAATTAACAAAGACAATCTGTTGCATTGCCAGTTCCCTCCATAATATTCACAGTGGGTTTAAAAGTCATGACTGCCTTCTTCCAAGAGAAGGACTAAGTTGCATGAACAAAGATCCAGCCATGAAATACTTCTGTATCAATCCAGTGCTTGGTAGGCAAGTGAGGAAACATAATGACACATTTTCCTAGGAACTTGAAGAAAAGATTATTTCACCAATAACATTAATCCATTACTTAAATAGCTTTTGAGTGGCTTCCTGTGTTGTTTTTTTTTAATCTAACATAACAAACATCTACGACTATGCATCTGAAATGTCATTGTTAAGGTAAACAACTGAAGTGAACGCAAACTGTTTGAGAGAGCTTTAATCCTGAGAGCAAGATTGGGAGGCCTGGTTCCATATATGACCATATGACTTCTCTTCATTTCTTTACAGTTAATATGCAAAGTGTCTACTTTAAGAGCACTGTGTGGACGACATACAGAAAAGCTTATGGCATTTAAAGCAATATACCCAGACATTGTACGACTTCATTTTCCTCCACTTTACAAGGAGTTGTTCACTTCAGAATTTGAGCCAGCGATGCAAATTGATGGGTAAACGTATCACCTAAGCACTTCTAGAATGTCTGAAGTACAAACATTAAAACAAAAGAAAGGAAAAGAAAAAAAAAAGAAAAAAAAAAAGAAAGAAAACCAAGACACTTTATATGGCCCTGCACAGACCTAGGGAGCCAACACACTGCACATCTCTTGGCGGTCGGGGTCAGGCGAAGGATGGGAAACAATGAAACAAAGTTGAACTTGTTTTTCTCATGCATATGATTTCCATTATGCCTACAAATATGGACCCTTTTTCTGTCTCAGCTTCTCAATCCTTGACCTCTGTTTACACAGACTGAGGGTACTAATGTCAGAAGGTTGTTTTCTCTTGTAGTTCACTGCCCAGACTTTTGACAGAACAATCAATTTGTTGATCAGAACAGAGAGTCCACCTAGTAATCAGCGACTGGTGTGCATTGCAGAGATTTCAGCATCAGTTTGCACAACTTGCTCATTGTTTCATGAAGGACAATTTTTTTCACCTACCAGTTTGCCAGTAGACAGAATGGCATGAAAAGGGTCCATAGCAATAGCAACAATAGCATTATAATATATTACAGGGTAAATGGGCATGAAGACTATATATAGCAAAAGAGATATTGTTTATATATTGTTTTAATTAATATAAAATGTAGTTACTGGTATAGCTTTTCTTGTTGAATTGATAAGGCACTTTCATTTTGCACCTTTTTCTTTAAATTAAATGCTAGCGTGTTCATTGTTGTGTTGCATGTGCACCAGAAATTCAAGTTTAACTGAAAAAGGTTTGGCAGGTACTGGTACATTGGGAGGTATTTATGCTGCTGTTTTCCATGTTACTTTTAAAGAGAGGCTGGTCATATCCCGAAATGGTTACACAGATTCTTTTAAAGAGTTGAAAATAATAACAATTTTCTAAATTAAAATCAGCTTTTCAGCTGTTAATTTCAAAGGTACTTTTATTTTCAAATCTTTCAAACCTGGATGTTTAAAATTACATGCCTAAATTCAGATTTAGGTGCACAAGTCAGAAGCCTCCCTTTCAAAGGTGCTGAGTTTCCGTGATCAAAGTTAAACTAAGGAATTACAGATCACTTACACACGAGTAACACAGCATCCTTGAAAATCGGGCTATTGAAGAAAGTGTGTTTCTGCCCACCATAAATCCAGGTTTGAAGATAGTTACTCAAGTCTGTATCTACAGTAAAAGTATGTGTGTATGACATGTATGTGGAAAAGCAATTTTTTATACATAATATTACATACTTTTGTACTCCGTATCGTAAACAATGCCTTCAAACTCCAAAATCTAGCCTGTCAACATACTTCAGTGAGATGAGACACAGACCCATGTTCTTCCAGCATCCAGCAGTTCAGTTTCAGGTAGCTGAACAGAGAAGTCCACTGCTCTTCTTATGTAAAAAGATGCACTATAAAGTTTCTCAGATGAGGACAGACTAACAAAGTAAAGGTACACTGTTGCTAGAAAACTTTGTTTTGTACTCTGTATAATGCCTGAAAATCATTAACATCATAAATCTGCATTCTGTAATTCTGAAAGTGTGATTCCCGTATTGCTTAACCAACCAGTAAACCCAATCTTGCAGTTTTTATTATTATTAATTACCATTCCCTTTAGGAGGAATACTGTGTCTGAGCAAATTCGGCAAGTAAACCTAGTTCTGAAGGAAGCAGATTCAGAATAAATGATATCACGAAATAAACCGCGTCTGTTTGAGCCAGAGGAGCATAACTAGTTTGGATGAGATGAGGACATATAACTGGATGCCTTGTAGGCCTACACAAATGAAGATTCTGATGAAGTACACACGAAAAAGCCAGGAACTTTAAAAAAGAAAAAGGATGAGACACACTATGCTCCACTGCTTTAATTTCCAAGGATAAACAATCTCCTACATACGTTACAGTTGTTGAGAATTAACAGAAGTGAATAAAAGCGCACTGTAGCCTAACTATTTTAAAAAGGAGAATTAGGTCAGTGGGTTACTACAAACAAAATAGAGGTTTGTTCTATGATTTACACCTGTTTCCTTTGGGGTCAAATGGAGACATTTAGCTGTGACACCTATTAGGAATTTTATAGTCTGCCACATCAGGGAAGCTTACAGCCATCACTCACCTCTGTGGCTTGACAGGAGCATCAGAAATTTCCCGTACAGAGCAGTGTGTCCCCAGAGAACAGCAGGGGAACGCCTGCACCTCCGTGAGCACCGGGATGGAGACACGAGAGGGCTTTTGGAAAAAGTCCAGAGAGCTGTTCTTGTGCTGCTCCATCCTGCCTGCTCCCGAGGAGGCGGCTCGCAGCCCAGCACCTGCCCTCTCCAGCCTCACTGAAATCCTTTTCCTAGAGTCATTGTTTACTTTATTGGAGTAACTGGAATGATATGGGACTTTCATTCTAATGTGTGTTCCTATTTTTAAAACAACCCTTTTAACTAACAAACGTTTTCTGAATGTGACCAGCCTTAGGTGCTAGTCCTGTAAAGATCAACTAAACTTAATTTCAGTGTCAACTAATGAATAATGAAGTAAGACCTGTACTTTTTTAGAGAGCGAGATACAACTCCTACTTCTGACAGTAAATAGACTACCAGGCAAAATATTTTGGGATTAACTTTCAGTCACATCCTTTTCTTACCTTTTCCTGCTGAATATTACTATTATTAGTAAATTATTAGTATTATTAGTAAAGTATTAGTACTTTACCAGGCATCTAGGTGCAAATGGTTTTGTTTAGTATCTAGTTCAGCATCTTTACACCCATAAGTCATTGACAACAGAGACTACTGGAGCATTTACTAATAAAATATATAACCATGAAAAGGTTCCAGACAGGGCCTTAGCTGAACGCCCTTTGCATCTGAAAACAGCTTGGGATGGGATCTTCCAGGCCAGAAAGTGCTGCCCTTGTCCATGGGAGCTCCCGTGTCCCAGCTGTGCATACACAGCCCAAGGAACTCTGCTTCCCTGATCACAACTAGCAGCCACTTGGCAAGAGAATGTTATTTTTGTTTGCTTTTCATGGACAGGGGAACAAAATGGGATATGGCATGGCAGATGTACTGATAAAGCTGCTGCTGCCAAGGAGGCTTTTATGAAAGGGGCCGCAGAGTAGTGTTGGGGTGGCTGGTCAGAGTGGGGGCCGTGTAAGAACCCACAGCAGCAGAGGAGATGCAGTCTGCAGAACCACTGGGACTATGGCCTGGGATCAGATCAACTGAGTATTCAGTTAAAAAACCTATTTGGGGTCAATGGATATTCACATGAGTATTGTCATAATCTGCCCAGGTCATTACAAACAAAAACATGGGGATAGCTGAAAATAAAGGAATAATACATTGTTTTTCAATGATCTGTTCCTTGAAGTCTGCAAAGAGATTTTCATTGGGTGTTATATCTATCCACTGGCTTTCTAGGAAAGAGATACATTGCTGTCATTTGAACCACCCTAATATACTTCAACACCTCCAACTTTGTTTGACGTTCTTAAAACTAGGGGATTAGGTGAAAAGGGAGGCTGTTTTTAAGTTTGGTTGTTCTTTATTAAAGCTTATCTATCTTAGTACGGATACCAAGATATCTGTGTGTGTATGTGCACCTGTGTGTGTGAGAGAGTACATTTGTGTGCGCACATGAATATATGCGTGGGTACGTGTGAGTGGCTGCTTCTAGGCTGTTAAGTGTCAATGGAATAAAGAAAATGTATTCAAAATACTTAAGTCAAAAATAGAAGGTGGAAAAAAGATTTATTCTATACAAAGCCTTGTCTGGACCACTTTAGAGAGACTTCTATTTTTTTAACCCTTCTATAAATGTTTGATGGCACTTGAAATATTCCTGCAATAAAATGTGATTTGTGTAAACATTAAAAAAAGATTTTGTAATGTGAAACAATGAAAGAAAGTAATGTAATTTTTCTAAAAAACAAAAAAAAAAACAAACGAACGAACTTTGTATTATTTTCTTGATGGAATTTGTCTATTTGTCTTTGGAAAACTTTTTATTTCATTGAATGTGCCATAGTAGAGGTGTGTTTTTCTTTTTCTTTCTTTTTTTTTTTGTTTTTTACATTTTAGATTAAAGGAATAGCTGTGTTCCGACATTCCAAAATGCAAGATGACATAGCAGTCATGATTAAAAGGTTTGATTAGTAAGCTTCAATCATTGTTGCTTTTTTTGCACATGTTCTTCATTCCTCTACAGTGCAATATGTACATAGAGCACTTGCGGGTGTAACCTTGATCCCTCAGGGAAAAATACATATTTGTACAGGACTTTTCTTTTTTTTTTTTGCCTTTTTTTTTTTTTTTTTTTTTTTTTTTTTTTTTTTTTTTGCTAAGGAATGTCGATTGAATCACTTGTCTGTCGTTGAGGGGCAGCCAGATAATAATCCTATACCACTGTCACAAAACATTGATTGTTTAAATTTTGTGCCCTTTTATAATTTAAAGAAGAAAAATAAAAGTTATTTTCTGACAGTTCTTTGTGCTGATTGGTGAAAAAAAGGGTAAATAGATAAGCACCTTATGATTGACTTAACTGTGAATGACAATCCATCTCGTTACCAACAACAGAAGCCCTATCATTTTGGAGCTGGGGTTAAGAGTCAGAAACTAATGTGCTCAGGGATCTTCTAAACTCTTCAACAGGGTGGCCAGTACTACTGGTGGAACAAATTACTTTTAAAAAAATATGCTAGTATTTCTTCCCTTCCCCCTCCCCCCCCAGGCACAAGAGAACTGGATATTTTTTTTAACTAAATGCTCTTATGCGTGCCTCATTCTCTTACTCAGTTTTGCAGTATAGCTCCTCTTTGGTCTTTATTCTGTTCCAAACTAAAATAATCCAAACAGCGCAAAGGTTTTGCAATTACATTTTAGAAAATAAATTAATGCTGACCCATTAAATATATGACTGAAATTAATTTCAATACCTTCTGGACATTTTTATAGGACTATTTTTCCAGCTGAATTTCCATATTTTGTAATGGAAAATGGTGTTTCAGTATTTAAATTATTGTCAACAAATCAGTTTATGATAGTACAGTAAGAACGAAAAGGTAATGATTAGGTTTTGCAATGAAGCCACATAGTAAGGAACACAGGTCGGCAGGAATCTGTCATTGTTGAATAGGCCTCATGGTAAAGCAAAAAACCTGACTGGAAAGAAACAGTGAGGGTGAAGAAATTTTCATATCTAGTACATCAAATACAGCCATTTTAAGTGATTACAATGGCACCAAAAACCAGCAACGTCTAGGAAGTCTCCAAGTGCTAAACTGAGGATTCGGGAAGCCTGTCCCAATTAGCTTAGTTTTATGGCTTCACATTCTTTTGAAAATACGAGTAGAAAAGTAAATAAGCAACTACAATGAGCAAGACTTCAAGACTTCCTAAAGATACTGAATTTCTCCATCAAACACATCCTCCTTGCAAAAAGCATCAGTTCTCCAGTATCTTAGGTTATTGAGGGATTTTTTCACTGAGTATATAGATATGGCTTCCAGTTGTTTACTTTAGATTGTTTAAATTTATTAATTTATTTCTTATGGTTTTACAAGCTGACAGTTGAGTTTAGCTTGGAATGCCTTTCCAAGGCAGAGAACTGTTTAGCAAGTATGATCAGTTCATATCCTGGCATCTTCAGCAGAAGAAAATCCCTACTGCTGATTCGCAGTAGAACCTATTATTTACATACCTGCAGATCAATTAAACATATTGTTAATATGTACAATCTATAAGATGTGTCAACTATGTAGTCAGGTGATCCAAACATTACAGAATATTTTTGGATTGGCATAGACATTCCCCGGTCCGTACTTGATGAACAAAACAGGTTGCACAGTAGAAGCTGTACAAACAATGTGTTGGGTATTTTTCTCTACACATTCCTAAACTCCCCAATGTAGATAAACTTATTAATATAAATGTCAGAAACAGCATTTACTATACAATATCCAAAAATAATAAGCAATTTTCTCTTGAATATTTTAAATTCTACCTGTGCTAGCTGATTGAGATTGCACAGAATAAACATCTTTGTTTTCCTTAGCTGGAGAAATATAACTATTAGAATTATTTTTTCATTATTAATACTAATATCTATTACTTTAAAAGTTTCATCCATGAATATATTGGAATATTAGCCTTCTATTTTCTTTACACTTAAATATTCCTGTCAGTAAATCATTTGGTGGAAATGAGGGCAAATGCATACAGATACCAAATATAACAACAAAAAGAGAAGTTTTAAAATTTAAATGAGTATTTATTTAAAAATCATTGCAGTATGTGCTTTAATCCTAGTACTGTGATAATAGCTGACTAAATAATGCTAAGTCACTGGACTTGAGGGGAAAAATACGTAACATTGAGGATAAGATAAAGTCTATCTTTGAAACTTTATTCAGGTACTAAATAGAATTTTGACATCAAAAAAAAAGCTGTATTCTACCTTTTCCATATGTAAAGTTGCTGTTTATCTTTTTTTTTTTTTTGCCTTTATCATTGGTAGAATATAGCAATAACTTTATAGCAATAAGTAGGCTATCCAAATAAGAAACAAAACGTGGTAAAGGCTTCAAATCAATACTCATAGGTTCATTTCTTCTGCCACAATATTCACTTGTATGTCTTCCCTCATAATCTCATTATTTCTTCAAGCTGAACCTCACAATCAAGTTGTTCAACTTGATGTGTGACATCACACCTTTTTGTTAACATCTGCATGTTTTTGGTGTTCATGTGTCCTTCGTATACATGTTTTCCTGTAAGTCAGTGTTTCTCAAGCTTTCTGAAAGCACAACCCCTCTGGGCTGTATTTCTTCATAGGGCTCTCTGTGTTGGAATTAACCGACTTGTTCTGAGGCAAGGAGCACGAACCAGCTGTGATTACTGGCAGCGTTTCCTAACTGAAGGAACTGAGCTGCTGCTCGTACTGAATAGCTGGGTGGCCGCTGGGAAGGTGGCAGCCGAGGGGCAGCTCCTCCAGGTGGGGGAGTGCCCGCTCTGGGCTGCAGAGCCCAGCTGCCTCTGCCCACACAGGCCTTTGATCATCATCTAAACGCCTTGGCAGCTTTCAAATGGTTGTGACTTTCGGTTTGAGAAACACTACCCTAAATTACCCCACAAAGTCTTAATGTAGATGCACAAACTTTACAGGAACTTGCAATCTGTAATTCTATCTATATCTAATGCAGAGAATTCATAAGCAATACAGTGAATTTTATTTCACAAAAAGGCATACGTACTGTACACCTTTCTAAATCCAAAATGTTCCTCATTTCTACATTGATTTAGAAACAAGTTACAGAACAGTGGTGAACATTTGAACTACTAGGACATTAACTGGCTGCTTCTTTATATGTAACTGTATTGTCTGCCTGCTCCTTTTCTGGAGATGTGTTTTTGTATTGGATGTTTGGGCCAATGGGAGGCTTCAAGCTACAATGTATTTTCCCAGAATAAATATATTTAACATATGACAAACCCCAGACAAGGCTTTTTAAAATGTATAAAGAACTGCAGTGTTAGGTGGTTTATTTGCAAACTGTTTTCAATGTTGTCCATTTTTATGGCACCTTTAACAATAATCTTGTTTCCAAAGTACAAAAAAAAAAAAGGTTAAAAATACTCTAGCCATAACTGAATGTCAAGCAATAAAAACAAATGACTTTTTGTGCATAGATTTAAAAGAAATACAAGTTTTAGACATCTGCATGTAAATGCAATCTCTTGTTTACTGCTTTCTTAAACTTGAGCAACTGATTTCCTTATTTTACTACTAATTTAAGGACTTGTAATGGCCTGTAAACATTTTATCTTGCTCTATTCTTTCAACTCTAACTTTGTCTCTGCTTTGGAGTCATAATATTTAATGTTGTTCTGCTCACCTCTATACAGTTAACTTTTTGCTTTCATTCTGTATAGATAAAGTTATACTATAAACAGCCTACACAGTGCAAATATTTATCTGTTTATCAAATACCACATTATGCTGTATAATATCTGTTTTACTATATAATCTATTTTAGACATAGCTGTTTAGAACTAGAGTGTGCTATTTTTGTGTTTTTCTGATGTGTGGTGCTAGATAAGTTACTTTTGTGAACAAAAGCAAACAAACCCCTTTTATTCCTAGACAATACCACCTTTGGGTCTTGTTAATTTCACTGAGTATAACTATATATAAATATATATATATTTGTGTATATATATATATATACACCAACATATGCCCAACAAGTACCTGTATCAGAGTACAAGATTTGGGACATGGTTTTCTCTTTAAATGCATAGTGTCATTATATAAATTATTCTATAGTATATTTAATAAGGAGAAAATTACTTCACCGGTACAGATACTTGATATCAAATGTAGAATTTTTTTCTACATTATTAACATTATTAATTACTGTTATTAAAATTGTTCTGTCCAGCTTGTTATCCTTTTGGTTACTAAAAGAGTCTGCCTGTATTGTATCAGAAAAAAGAAAAACATCTAATCTGCCAGTATAAAATAATTAGAATATGCTGTCTGTCTGAAAGGGAGGTAGTTATTTGGCTTGTCGGGAGAGTTCTATCCTGTCGTTGCATCTGATATTTATAGATGTTATTCTGCTGGGTGCCTTCCTCCCTCTTCACTTTAAATAGGATCTGTACACACTCAAACTGCGGATGTTACTAGGCCACGCCTACACACTTAACTCCGGTTACTGTAAATAGGAATTTTCTGTGTAAATCTTCCATGATAGATGGATGGCTAAATTCAGTCCTTGGATATGCTTTATACATCATGCAGACAGATCCAAGGACAGCCATTAGAAACTAAAGTTAATCAAGAAGTGGAATTTGCAATGTTTTGTCAGGTCTGGGGGTTTTGTTTTTATTTTTCATGTATACCTTAATTTACGTAGTCATGTACCCTTAAAAGTATTCCTGTGCCCTCTTCTTTTCATTCTAGATATTGTTTTCATGTTAATTCTTAAAAACTGATGGATATCAAATATCTAACTAAGGAGGTAATTAACCTTTTAAATATTTATTAGAATTTTTCTGTAATATTACTGAATTTATAAGATCTTTAGCAAAGATTTTTGAGCAATTTATTAAATACAATGTTTCTGTTTACTGCACTTTTTGATAATAGAAGGTAGTGAATTTTAAAGCCATGATTCTTGGCTTCCATGCACTGCTTTTATACCCTCAATCCAAGGAATATATATATATAAATAATTTTTTTTAAACAGCAAACATACTGTTGTCCTAAAAATAAATACAAACTTTACTGCACCGTGGGTATATTTTCATAAGTGGAATGTTTAATTGCAAACACTATCAGGACAATTATAAAAACCTCTTGAAGCTTCAATCTTATTTAAATATAAGCCATGACAATTTTATTTTCCCTCCTTGATTTAAGTCACCTTTTGATATTTTCAAAGAGAAAAGGAGTCACTCTCAAATTTGTATGTACTAACTTATACATAATGCTAGGAACATGTTCTCCCTATTGTTTTAATTTTAATAGTTTGATATATTTATGCAAAACCATTTGGTTAACATGTATTCTCCCTCTTTACTAAATGTTCAACGTAACAAGACCAATCAGAATAAATGCTGATTACAAATATACATCAGTTTGAAGATTAAGCACATAGACTTCAAAAACCTCGCTGAGTGATATGCTCAAATTTCTGTATGTAAATACACACAAGTTTAAATGCAATTATACTGTACATGTAAATATATGCTGTTATGTGTACAGTATGTATAAATTCCTTTTCTAGCCACAATAAAATGTAAGCCATCAAGAGGAATGCTAAAGTGGTATTGTACTAAACCTTTGCTAATGATCTTTACCCAATCACTTAACTTTTCACTTTCATGGACCTTTCCAACTCACTCTTACGATAGCCTGCTTATATTCAAGTTTGTTATTTTACTCAGTCCCGAAAAAAGTATTTTGATTCATTTTGTAAATATGACTGTAAAAATAAGAGATTTAATGTTGTCTTTTAAATACTCCAATTTTCATTCTAATATGAATGTTGTTATATTGTACTTAGAAACTGTACCTTTAATATTACATTACCTTTATTAAGTGCATTGAACACATCGATTTTAGATGTGCTTTATGTACTGTTATCCTGTAATAAAAATTCAGCTTCTAATGGAAAAATCTGTCTTAAGTTTTTGTCAGTAGCATCTTGTTTGTTTTTCTGAATCATGGTTTAATAAGTTTATTCCTTAAGGAATGCATCGTTACAAAATCAGGCTGTGCTTCCAAGCACGTATGTCAGAGCTGTTTAGCACATACATCAAGTAATGTTTGGCAGGGGGAAAACAAGACTCCCGAGCACCTTTTCAGCTTCTCTTTTGGCCAACAAGAGCTTTAAACCTCCTCAGAATGAATGGGTATTAGTCTAGCTTCCCTCTCCTGGAAATGTATCATCTTATTTGAAATCACAGTTCACTGCATGAAGTACAAGATACAAGAAGCCTGGCTTAAGGCCTTCCCAGTGACTTTGGAAATAGCACTTCCGGCTAGATCTAAATGAGGATTTGGGTATCAAAATTGAGGTTTTAATACAATTTAGGCATCAAAATTCAAAGTTGCAACATTCCTCTGCTGTGCTAACTTTGGGAGCACCTGAATGTCAGCAGCACACTTGGTCTTCAGACTTCAGGCATGTAAAATAGAATCATAGAATCATAGAATTGTCCAGGCCGGAAGGGACCTCCAAAGGCCATCTAGTCTGACCTCCCCACAGTCAGCAGGGACACCCCCAACTAGACCAGGTTGCCCAGGGCCTCATCGAGCCTCACCTTGAATATCTCCAGGGATGGGGCCTCAACCACCTCCCTGGGCAACCTGTTCCAGTGCTCCACCACCCTCACAGTAAAGAACCCCCTCCTAATCTCCAATCTAAATCTGTTCCCCTCCAGCTTAAAGCCATTGCCCCTCGTCCTGTCACTGCAGGCCTTTGTAAACAGGCTCTCCCCAGCCTTCCTGTAGGCCCCCTTCAGGTACTGGAAGGCTGCTATTAGGTCTCCCCGGAGCCTCCTCTTCTCCAGGCTGAACAACCCCAGCTCCCTCAGCCTGTCCTCGTAGCAGAGGTGCTCCATCCCCCTGACCATCCTTGTGGCCCTCCTCTGGACCCTCTCCATCAGGTCCATGTCCTTCTTATATTGAGGGCTCCAGACCTGCACACAATACTCCAGGTGAGGTCTCACCAGAGCAGAGTATAGTGGCAGAATCACCTCTCTGGACCTGCTGGCAATGCATCTCTTGATGCAGCCCAGGATGCGATTGGCCTTCTGGGCTGCAACTGCACACTGCCTGCTCATGTCCAGCTTCTCATCCACCAGCACCCCCAAGTCCCTTTCCTCAGGGATGCTTTCTAATACCTCACCCCCCAGTCTGTACTGATGGCCAGGATTGTTCCGGCCCAGGTGCAGAACCTTGCACTTGCTCTTATTGAACCTCATGAGGTTCACCTGGGCCCACCTCTCCAGCCTGTCCAGGTCCTTTTGGATGGCATCCTGTCCCTCTGGTGTATCGACAACACCACACAGCTTGGTATCATCCACAAACTTGCTGATGGTGCCTTTAATCCCTCTGTCTATATCATTGATAAAAATGTTAAACAGTATTGGCCCCAGCACGGACCCTTGAGGAACACCACTTGTGCTGGTTTCCATCTGGATGGAAATCCTACTTCTGCACTTACCCAGACACGCCTCAGTCTTGACAAAGCTTTAACAACTCATTATTTATATACCTGACCATGATCCAGAAAGAGGTATTAGCATTCATCTTTGAAGCACTATATCTAGATGCAGCCTTGACCTACAGGTCAAATCTACAAAAAGAAAGTAGTGGAAGCCATCACTTCCTTAGAACTCTAGCACTACGTAGTGCCATTCGTTCTACAGGAGCTCTATGACTAAAGCAGTCTTCAAGACACTGAAAATCCAGACTGAATTTTCTTATCTTCAGGACACAATTTCCACTCACAGGAGAGTTCCTAACCACCAAGATATAGGTTAGGCAAGAACTATATACAGAACTATGTATGCTCGATATAAAATGCAGGAGTATCTCTGAAGTGAGGCATAAACCAAGGACTCCCATGCCAGCCCATAAGGAAAGCTAAACTGTGGGTTAGGAGGTGGTGGTTTTGATCCCCAACTATTTCACAGAAATACAGAATGGTTGAGGTTGGCACGGACCTCCAGAGGTTACATGCAGGGGCCACCTAGAACCACATCCAGATGGCTTTTGAAGTATCTCAAGGATGGTAACTTTACAGCCTCCCTGCACAACCTGTGCCAGTGCTCACTGACCCTCACAGTGAAAAAGTGTTTCCTGATGTTCATGTTTATGTCATGAAGTAGAAAGATCACGTGTAGGAAGTAGCACCATTTAAAAAAAAATTTAAAAAGTAGACACAGCACGTTACAGAGAGATGCAGACTGTAATATTTAACCTGTCACATACACAATCTGTGGTAAGTCTTCTAATCATTTGTCTACATAACTATTACCATACCTGGGTTTTGAAATGAGGTTATTCTTTACAAAGCTATCTCCAGGACTGGGCTCTGTGTGGATCCAGTAGGGGGACAGAAACCTTTCAATTTCTCTGAGATATAGAAACCAAAAAAGAGCAGAATTAAACTCTCTGTCCTTAAAACTGATCTGTAAGCATGCTAAAGACACTTCTTTGTTGGTGGGTTTGGACATCATTCTGAATCATCTCAGTATTTTTATGTATTTGCCGATACTGCCCAGAGCTTTAGTTACAGGACTAGATGCTGTAACACTTCGTGCCACAATCCCCACTTCCCTCTTTATTTCTGCATCTGTGGAGCTGAGAAGGGCATCACCTTTTCCTGTAACACCACAAGCAAATGAGTTTCCATCACCTAGACCAACGGGTTCTGAGAACAAAATTTGAATTCCACGTTTTACCACACTGGGAAGCCTGATCATCAGAAAAAAAAGAGCTTGTGGCTGTGGCCACGTGTTAGCAAGTGGAAAGTGAACCAGGGAAACAAAGCCTTGGGGAGAAGGGAAGCCGATAAACGCGGTAACCTCCACGGGGCACCTCAACCCTCTCGTACAAGGCCCCAACCCCCCTCAGGGACAATCCGCCCAGGAAAGCCCGGCCCGGCCACCCCTGCACGCGCAGGGCGGGAATCGCCGCTCGAGGCACCAACATCTGGTCAGGGCCACACCTTGGTGAAGAACGCGGAGTCGTAGCGGAGCCCTCAGCGCGAAGAGGCCTTAAGCACGTTTCATCCCTCGGCGAGGCGGGACGGAGCCGGCACTGGCAGAGGCCTCGGCGGCGACACCAGCCCCTCACCCTGCAGCACTGCCCCCTGCCACAAGATGGCCGCCGCAGCTCCTCCAGCCGCGGCTCCAGCCTGCGTTGCCATTGGCTGGCACAGAACACCTGACCCCGCGCGCCGGGTGCCCTGCTACGCTGATTGGCCAATGCCGTGAGGCAGGCTCACGCGGCAGAGAGGCGAGGAACCGGCTAACACGCTTCCCCGAGGGGTCCGCTAAAATGGCGGCCAAAGGGCCGCTGTTGACCTGGTGAGTACATTCCCCCCCTCTCCTCCTGGCCTAGGCGGCCGCGTCTGAAAAGCGGCGGGCAGGAAAACGCCACCCTTCCCCGCGCTGCCCCGCCGAGAGGAGAACGGCGGGGGCCCGCATGCGCCTGAGGAGGGGGGCGGGCCTGCGCTGCTGCGCTCGCCCGGCTCAGCCCGGCCCAGCCCAGCCCGGCCCCTGGCTGAGGGAGGACGGGGCGGCGCCATGTTTGTTCTTTACCTCAGGGGGAGAGGGGAGGAGCTGCCGCACTTTCCCTGAGGAAGAGTTAGTCTGCCTGTTTGTGTGCGTTCGGAAATGAGGGCTAATTAATACGCATTTACGAGATGGGTTTGGGGCAGTGGCATTGTTCTTGTTTTTAATACTGAAAGCCCTACAAGAAAGTAATTCGGCTTTTTAAGCCTGGAGGGGAGTGTTGGTTTTAAATTAGTTTATTAGTTAAGAAGGCAGAAAGAAATCTTTTCTTTTGCCTTTCAAAATAGTTTGGGAAGATAGACATTTTATAAAGCCTGTACACTGGGACGGCTATATTAAAAAAAACCCACAACCAAGTAAAAAGGAGAGTTTGGAAGGTAAGGTGTGTGTAGAAGACAAAATACCTCTTTTATGAAAAATTAAAAGCAAAGTGACTGCATTTTTCTTGAAATTCCAGCAAGTTGAACCCAATGTTTGGTTTTGAGCAATTAACATCTGAAAGCATGTGGCTTCATGAGAATTTCTCCTCCCATATCTAGAATTTATACCCTGTAGTAATGAAATTGTTCTTTTTGGACTGTGAAGAACACATGTATTTTACTATGGAAAACCAGTGTAGAATTAGTGTATATGTTACTTTCATAGAGGGAATGTGGAAACAGTGTAGATACCCTTTTTTTTTTTTTTTAAATAAAGAATTCTGATTTTTGTTTCTTATGGGCAGATGTGACCTTTATTTTTTTGTGTATTGCAATGTTTTTATTTTGTTTGTGGTTTTTTTTTTTATTATCAGGGATATTTCACCAAAAAATGGCAGTGAAGTATTTTTCTCACATGAAATTTATGAAAAATATTCATTGGCTCCGAGCCTCTCTGAACTATGGCAGTTATCAAACAGGTACATTCTGTCACGTTATAATTTTGTGCTATTTGTCATTATCCTATTGATACATACAGTTGTGGTTTTGGGCGAAAGCCGCATGTTCCCTGGTGTGCAAGGATTTGTTACTGACTCCTGGGTCCAGCAGTTGGTCTGTGCTTTACCTATTGTGAAACCTCAGAAAGCCGAAAGAGTTTAGGCTGGGACGTCCGGCCTTTCATGTCTTCTGGGGGTGTGGGGTGGTATTTGGGGGGTGTTGGGGTAGGCTTTAGGTTATTTTTGGGGGGTGATGCTTTTTATTTTTTTTTTGCTTTTGGTTATGTACCAAAGAGGGATGGCGTTTGACCCACACTCTTAATTGGTCGCGGTAAGGATCCTGTAACCCATGACCCAGATCTAATTCTTTTTAGAAATTACTGTCTTGCTATCTGTCCATGTCTTCTCACTTTGTAGAAGGCTGACAATAGTGTATGTTGAAATCCTTTTTACTTTTATCTTTTGGAAGTAGGCAACAGTGTTTATGTGGATCTAAGAGTGTCTTAGGTGCAGCGGAGGTGTTTTTAATTCCTTTGGTAATGAAGGAACTGAATAGAATGGTAGCTGAAGAATGGGAAAAGAAATGATGTGAACACAGGTGGTACAGGCCTTTTCCGGTTCATCTCTATTGCAGCAACTTTCCTTGAACTGGCAGAAATTAGCACAGCCCTCAGAGCTTGCTACTGGGTACACTGGGTATTGCTGTGGGATTCTCCCTTTAGATCATGTAGATAAAGGGTTTCTGGAGTAGATAAGACTGCACTCAGGAGTGGAATTGTGTTCAGTTGTGTATGGTAGGAGTGGTTTTAAAGCTGGAAGAGGGGTTGCGACCAGCAAAATTTAGAAATCGATGGAACTGAGTGGTATGGCAATAGTCAAGAGGAAGAGAAATGGAACCTGTTGGGGCAAATGTGAAAGTAAAAACTGGAAGAAATTTGTGAATTTTTATATTGGGGTTTCTGATAGGTATTTACAAACATGTACATTCTCTCACCATAGAATCTGTGAATGCAGGTTGCTGATAAAATGAAGGGGAAAAATTTAAGCCGTCAGCTCAAATAAAGTATAATGCTGTAAATATGGACAGAAAAGCTCTGTCAGATTATTTTGGTTTGCACCCTGATGAAGACTGTGACAGCACTGCATAGTGAAATGATCTTGATGTGCTGCCATTTCATTCAGTGCTGAATATAGCCAATTTAAGCTGCTAGAATTTCTTGATGTTCCTACATTGGCATATCTGAGTCAGCATCTTGTCGCTGCTGCAGCTTAATTAAATTTGCCAGTTTGTGCCATGAGGATGGACACATTCTCATATTCAGAGAGACAGCTGTGAAGTATTATTAAGAACTGTGGACGTGATACTGCTGGGTTTGAATAACACTTGAGATGTTTTCTACTGCTGAAATCGTATCTTAAAAATATGCTTTTTCCAAGATCAGCAGTTAATGTTCATTTTGTTAACCTTAAATACTTTCTCTCTTAAGAGCAGTTATTTTAAATAGAGCAGGGCTAAGATGGCCTTCATATACTGGAGTTGTTTTAAGAACTAGCTTATAGCGTTACTCCTTTGTTGTTAGGGCAGCTATCACCTTGCCTTAGCTCAGTATTATTTTTGGCAACTGATTTCAGAATTGTTTAGGGTACAAAATGAAACCTTTGAATTGTGTACTCTGTTTTTAGGCATTTCTTCATTGAAATCTGGAATTTCTGTTGTTACAATTAAGTAGTTTTTATTTATTTCTTTTAGAGTGAAGAAAGGGTTATTCTAGTTAATTCGTTCTCCTTTACTGTCATAACTTTGACTCATACGTGAGTTAGACCTTTCTGAGTGCAAACTGTTTCTGAACACTGACCATCAGTGAATGAAGAAATGTTGAGACTCTTTATGTTTTCATTAATAATGGGTGTTTTCAGAACAAATAACTGGAGTTTCATATTTGGCTTGTCACCCCCATATTGAGTATGCGGACTAATATATACACCATTTTGTTTAAAAACAAAACAATACTTTTTTTTTTTTTCCCACCATCTTTAAACCAGTGGTAAACCTGCTGTTTGTATACTAAGGATTAGTCTGGTTGCCTGGTTGTCCAGTTGAAGTTTCAGAGTAAGAAAATTCCTGTGGCATAGACTAGAAATTGGAATAGAACACTGTCTCACAGTACATTTTGCTGGATTTGAAATTTAGGCTTGCATGACGGCCTTTATTAATCCTGACAAATATTAATATTTATGTGAAAAGTGTAAGTTCTTTCATTTATTACTTTTCTTTCAGAGAGGTAAAGAAAAATGTGGAGGCACTGGCAAACTCTTCAGAAAACAGACAGACTTCTAGCATCCAGTCTGCAGATCTAGTTGAGGTGGAGGCTAAAAGCACAACTGATGATCATCCTTTTCCAGAACCTAGACTCCCCTATCCATTTACCTCATGTTTGACTGAGAAGGAGCAGAAAACATACTTATATCTGATGTCTAAGTACTCAAAAAAAAAAAACCACTTTCAAGTTAATGCAGCAAGTCAAAGAGAATTATTCACATATCTGGTAAGTGTGCATATAGGTACAAACATCATAGAGGGAGTCATACAGGATTTTTATTACAAAGAGTTAAGAAAATACAGCAAAAATATTTTTAAATTCAATTTGTCATAACTTCCTTTTAACTTGGTATTATGAAGGGTAATATTCAGGATAAAATTTTTAATATAAATTTAAAGTATATTTGATTATTTCATTGAAATTGGCTGGGTTTCCTGTGGATTGTTTTTGCTTTTTTCTGTTTTGTAGTAGTAGTCTAAACGACTGACGGTAAGCGTAGATCTTTGATAGCTGATCAAATACCCACCCACCCCCAAAAATCCCCACAGTATTTTATGAGAAGCAAGTTGACCTTCTCTGATTTTAGCATTTAATAATAGTGTGTACCCATCTTGTATATCTTGTATAATGTTAGGAGGTGGATACATTTTGATGTGTTCTTTGACAGCACGCTGTAATGAGAACTTCCTTTATTAGCATGTGAGGGGCCCTGTGCATTGACCTGTGCTTGGCACCTCAGTGCTTATGGGAGGAGAAAGGCAGGGGTTCATTCTCGCTGCTCAGTCTCAGCAAGGGTTTTTAAATAGTGAAGAGCTATGTCTCGTGTTGGGTGGAAGTATCATTTTAGTTGAATCCTGTATAATGTTATTAATCAGCAAATGGTTTTGAACCATTGCATTTGGTTTACTCTGCTTCCTTGTTTTATGCTGTAACAATGAGAATGCAGTTCCCAGGCAAATCAGTACCTATTGTGTTGTTGTTACTTATAATGTAATTGCTTATGAGGTCAGAGCTCAGATATCTTTGTGGCTCTGTCACGTAACTTGCTCCAACAATGTCTTGTAACCCTTCTTCTTATAAACTACCACTGTATGATCTAAAGAAGCTTGCTGTTTGTTGAGGGGTCATGTTTTGCTGTTTTGGGTTTTCTTGTAAGGAATGGGCTTTGCAAATTTCTTTTTTTACTTAAGTGAAACTCTAAACACATGCAAAGACTTGCCAAATTGAGCAGCAAGTGGAATCTCTGCCCTCCCTCATACTGCACTCCTCTCTGGAAGGTTTGCTGGTTACATGCCTAGTCTACAGGATTCCATTCTGTCTTTAAAAAAGGATTTTTCCCTCCCCCCAGCAAATGAAAGAAGTAGTAAACAATGAAATTGCAGAATTTATGAAATTTGCCCAAAATGCTGCAAAAAGCTGTGCCAAGGATTATGATGCCATCTCTGAAGATGCACTACGTTATACTGAGGTAATTACCAATACTGTCTTTAATTCCTTCTCTTCTGCTCATGGGATCTGATGTTCCCTGAACTGCTGATTCCATCTTGGGATGAGACATGAGAAGTCACCACTTCCCTTATGCTGTGCAGCACGGCTACAGTTTATAGTAGCCAATAAGATGCAATATAGGTGAGGTCACTGAATACAATACTGTCCAAAGATTTAGTCATCAGTTAAATAAATTACATCTTTATATTTAGGAAGGGGAAATTGCATTTTAAGTGTGCATTTACATTAACAAGCTGCTCCTAAATATACACTACCGGACAGAACGTTAAGCTTTCTTCCACAGTAGCATGTTACAAAGTCACTTTAATCAGAGGTTACTCAGGCTTTAATCATAATCTGCAAGTTCATGCTGTGTTAAATACTCACCTTGATGACTGTAGAATCAAACACGAATGTGACTTTATCATTTTTGATTTAATAGCACATTTCAGGAAAAGAATTCCAGAATAGAGGTTCATTAAACTTTCCTGTCAGTGGGTTGACTTGCTTTTGCTTGCTTTCCTCATAGTGTCGCCTTAATTGAAATGGCCTAAATACATGCATTTTGTTAAAATTTTAGTCTTTTCTAGTACGTGTCACATGACTTTCTTTTACAGAATAAAGCAGAAAAATAAATGTGTGTACTAGAAAGTAGAGTGCTTAGTTAAATTCAGAAGGATTGCTTCTATTTCACCATAACACTTTTTATTGTATGCTTTTCCATGCACAAGATAAACATGTTCTCCCATTAACGCACGATTTGGGCACATGTGAAGACAAAATTCTTGTTTTTTTCTAAAAATTGGGATTGGCTTTGTAATTTTATATCTTAAACTTGTGTCTGTTTTTCTAAGTGATCTTGTCATCTAGTCACAAAATGTGTCTTCAAACTTGAACTCCTATTTATATAACCTGAGTTAAAATTGAAACAGAGACACATATTTAAACAGTATTTGCAGAAATAACTCATCCTAGTTACTAAATAAAACCTAAAGATCTTAAGTGCCTAATTCAGATATAAGAAAAAATTATCTTAGGATCTAGAGTTGACATGTAAGCAAGTTTCAACACATACAGAATCTTCCTGTGTCTTTACCTTTGCAACTTTTACCTAGGCCTGGTGTAAATTAGGTAGTAACACAAAAAATATTAGTCCTTCTAAAAGCCAAGATAAATAAACTGAAAAGAAAATAATTACCTGGTTTAGTTCGTATTCTACTAAAGTTTTTTTTAATTATTTGTCTGAGCCTGTGTGCATACACTGTCAGCCTTGCATATGAAGGTTTGGGGAGAAATGAGTATGTTTCAGTTCTGATAGTAGTGATTGTAAGATTATTACAGAGTTGTACTGGTGTCTCTAATTTTTTTAATACTGTCTCTAACTGGAAAAGTTGAACAAGTCTGTTAGCAGTAATCTGCTAAATATATCTGGATTCTCTACAGAAAGTATATTCAAATACAACTTGCAATTTCAGAAAAAAACTTTTTAAAATTAAATTCTTATGAAAAATGCAAATTCATAAACTATTTTTTTTTTATGTTAGGAGTTATTTCGTGCTTGTATTGGACATGTCCAGAAGTATCCTGAGTTTTACACACTCCAGGAGATCATGAGTATCATGGGAGGAAAGTTTCATACACAGTTGACCTTTAGGCTGGAAAAAAATCTTCTTGTAATGGTAATATCTTTCAAATACATATTGGTTCGATGTTATTTTCAAACAAGTAGAATTGCATCTGAATTGTGTTATGCAAGGATTCAGGTTTTTTACAGGTACTGTTCAGTGCTTGGGTTAGAGGTTATAATTTACAATTAAAACTGTTAATGAGAACGTTGGCAAAATTTTTTCACTACTAAGACTGTTAAAGCTTTTATGGTATGTTTGCAATAAAAAGATTACATTAATAGTATATTTTTTTAATATAACACGAACTTTATCATGCATCTGCATAAATTCTTAATATTTTTCATTTAAGAAGTGCAATGTTACGTCAACATGATTTCAGTTAAAGCTCTTTTTTGAAACTGCTTGATTTCTTCAAGGGTACGGCAAGACGTAGTCAAACAGATTTCTCTGCCATGCCTGTTCAGCTGCCCACAGATTACAACACTGTTGCATCTATTATAACTCCAGAAAAAAAGGCTTCCATTATACACAATGTAAGTAAACTTTTACTGTTGGTTTAAAGACATATTTTTCATAGAAGAGCAATTTAGTCCTTTTTCTGTGGCAGCATTAAGTTTTTTCTTCCTTTCTTTTTTTTTTCCCCCTAATCTTACACAATTTATAGCATAGGAACATATACTGTATCGTTATTTGTTTAGTATTTTATTCATAGCAATTGCACTGTCCTCTTCAAAAGTGGGGTTATTACCTCTTGGACCTGGAGCCTCTTGAAGGGACTTCTTTGCTCTCGTAAAACATGAGAGAGGTCCTTAAATTGGAACACACTGTGTGAAATCTAGATAGAATTGTTTATGACAGTCTTACTCTTTTTAAACTTTGCTTTCCAATTTCTAAGCTGGTCTCTGTGTGTGTGAGTGTGTGTACGTAAATATGAATGCATGTAGGTGTAAATGCTTATGATTTAAGAAAGAAGTCCTGAGGGTAGGAAGAAGTACTTTAGACTGTCTAGTTTTCTGAAAAGTCAATTAGGTTAGCTTACCCTGGGAATTTCTTCTGCTGCACAGCATAAACTCCATATCCGTGTTCAAAAATTTTTAGGTTCCAATCCACCTTACTGTTAAATATCCAATCTTTCTGTTTGTGTTCTTCCACAGAGAAAATCAATGAGTATTTCCTTCTGTAGAACTTGGGGTTTATCACTGTTTATTCCAGATAATTTGTTATCCACGTTTTGGATTTTGTTCACATATCAAAACCCAAACTTTCAACAGAGGCACTGTGACTGCAGAGACACTTTTGCTTAAGAAAGTAGCAAAGGTGACACAGGAGAATGATACATGCCTCAAGAGATGTTATAGCTATAAACAGAGAAAATTTCTGATGATGTCTCAGGTGGCAGAAAAAAGAACACAGCTAGATTTTTCTTATTTCTGTCTCACGGTTCTCAGTGCTCCTGGGCTTCTGTTATCTTCTTAGTCCTTGATGTTCTCCTCCCACCTCATGAGCATTCCCAGCCTCCCCTCTTCTTGGAAGCCTGTACTCGTAATCTTTAATAATTCTAGCATTTCAATTCTGAATTTGTATTCTTCATGTTTTTATATTTGTTTTAAGATTCTTTATATGTAATCTATATGCAAACTACTATGCATTTTTAACCATACTTTACTGTTAATGTCTTTATTGTGCTATTAGTTAACTCATAAGATATGTAATATATGTTTAAATGAATCTGGTTTTTTTCCTTCTGCAATGCATTCCCATATTTCATGATCATATAAATTCTTATTCAGTCTAGTAATTCAAATTATTAGCAATTAACTGAAAGATACAAGTTAAGAAGATATATTTTCTCATGCTGCAAGGTGAATGCATAAGATTCAGCCAAAAACCTGCAGGGGAATTTTGTGCTTTTTCATTTGATACTGAAGCCTGGCACTGTGGTGGTATTTGGGCTTGACCGGGGTGGGGGAATGTTAATCCATGTTTGGGCTTAGGGTTTTTCTCATGAATATAAATTTATATGTGTATTTCTTAAAAAAAAAACAACCAAAACAAACTTAACCCCAGCTTTTTTCTGTTTAGGATATTAGTTCAGATTCAAATGCAGAAAAGCTTGCTTTGAAATACTGCCCTCAAGTTGTTTTAAGTAATCAATCATTATTTACTTTACTGAATAATCATGGACTAAACTACAAGGAACAATGGGAAATTCCAGTTTGCATTAAAATGATCCCTGTTCCAGGTATAGTATGTTTTTTCTTCTAAAAATTTTTCTTCTAAAATGTTTTTGTCCATGAAAATCCAATGTTTTGTCCAATGAAAATATTCTCGTAATCCTTTTTGAGCAGACTGAAGAACAGGAAATTAGAAAATCCAGTAAAACCAGCTGTGGGAAGGTAGAAGGTAGTCTGGTTTAGTTTACACAATAATAAACTAGTTTAATTTTGGCTTCATTTAAAAAAGAAAGAAGCTAAGGTTAATGAGAATTGTAATTGTAATTATAAGCAGACATTTTTACCTTTTCTGAAGAAGCAACATTCTAGAATGCAGCTGTAAGAAAACAGTATCTCTTAAGTACTTCCGTGTTTTTAATTTAAGGAATCAAAGTAATAAAATTTGACTTATTTAGTTCACACATCTTAAAGGGCAAAAATCTGAAGTTAATAGTTTTCAGCTGTCATCTGGTAAGGAGTCAGAGACCTTTGTGTTGTAAAGAGAAATGTTTGGTTTAATCAAAGTTATCGTAAAAAATGAACTTTAAAAAATCCATTGCTCTAGTTTGTCCCCTGTTTTCAAGGAGGAAAGCTGAAAGCAAGGTCATTTCGTAGTTTTCTAAACCTTGTTCCGCCTTGTTACTGAGAATAGTAACAACCTCTAGAGGTATCACCATTAACATTGAATCTGGACATAGAGCTATTTTCCGCTTGGAAAAAAAAAAATCAGTTAACTGTCCTTTTGCTTTTCAAAACTGTAAGCTCTGCTCCTTGGAAAGAAAAGAACTGCATGAAGCTGTTATTATCAAGTGAACTGATTTTAGTAAGCTAAAAACGAAATTCTGGAGTTTTGTGAAAAAACCTTTACCTGGAATCAACCCATTTACACCATAGGATAATGAATAAATAATGAATGTCCATGGAGATCACTTTTCCCAATGGCAACACAAAATATTTTGAATACACTGATTAACTCGTCTGAATGCTATACTTAGTTGTTAAGTACCCCATCAGTTATCTGAATATAGATTTCTTCTCTTGTTGCCTTTTTTTTTTTTTTTTTTTTTACAGTCAATATGAACGCTTTTCTATTTGGACTTCTGAAAACTGCCTGTGCAGCAGGGAAAAACTGAAATACAGTTAAATGAAACACTTCTCATTGTTATTCAGTTTCTTTTTGTTGCAGGAAGAAGCCATTTCTGCAGATACACAAGGCCTAAAAAATGTGTCTTTGTGTTGAAACAAAATGATAAACAGCAATAACCATTCTAACAAAGGTGTCCCAGTCCAAACCACAGCAAAAGGCTGTAACATTTCATACATTCCAGCGTCAAGACTGGGCTACAAAACAATATGTTTGAAGTGGAAAAATTATATTCTTCTCTTTTTTCCCTTTTTTTTTTTTTTTTTTTTTAGTACACACTAAGGGTTTTTTCATTATGAGTACTTATAATGGTTGTTGTCTTGGAATGTCCATGTCGTGTGCATTTCACGCACATTTGTATACTAGACTTCTGGATAGTAGTAAATAAGCTGTCAAATATTTGCAAATCTTAGAATTTTTGCACTTTCCTGCGTTAAAAAGGAGGGCTTCTCCTCTCCTTCCTTTTCCACCTTCCCTGTAACCCACTTCTTGCATTAATTATATTTCTTTCACCTGCGGAGTATTTTTTTTCTAGAACAGTGTCACTATGTTCACCATGGGCCTTTTTTTTTACTGTATAATATTATCACTGGGTATCACTGTTAGTTTTGGATGAAACTGCAGGTGATTCATGTGTAAATGTGTTAAGGTGTAAACAAAAGAGTGGGGCAACAGAACTGGGACATAGTTATTGATTAGAAGAAATATAAACTGCAGACATTGCTTTTTGGGCAATGAGACTTTTAAAAAAAATTTTTTTTGTGAGGTTCATCAAAGGAATTAAATAGATATTTTTGGAAAACAGAACACATATGATGTTATAATGCAGTATAAGGAATGATGAATCCTGAATTCTTATTTTACAAACTCTCTGTTTAGAACTGCATTTCTAATATGATTGACTGTTAATGTGGTGTGAATTGCTGCTGCAGTATCCTAATAGTTCACACTGTATCTGGACATACTTTTATTTTCTGTTGTTAATGAATGAAATGAGTTTTTCATTTCTTCCAGTGTGAATGTGGAATGTATTTGACCATAATTGGAAGTCGAAAGATTTATTATTTAAATGATATAATAATCTCTCTTCCTTTCATTTGATATGTACTCAGTCTCTTCCTGTTCTTGAAAAGGTAGCAAACCAGCTAAAGTGGTTTATGTTGATTCACCTCTGATGAAAAAGGAAATGACAGTAAGAGAGAGGAACCAAATCTTCCATGAAATTCCAATGGACTTCCTAGCAACTAAAACATCTTATGTTTCAATTTCTGATGTATCAATGGACAAACCAGCTGAGGACAGTCTGTTTCAGTGGGATGTATGTAGCTCCACCTCTTCTTAAAAGCACAATGCCGAAAATCTACATTAAAATTCCTTAGTTACTTGTTCTGTGATAATGATGGAAAACTTAGGTTTGCTGTTGGGAGGTTTTTTTACTGCTGGGTTATGGAACCCATGTTTTAAAATGTCTGTCTAGTTCCTTTAAATGCTTCTATTATATCAGCATCTCAGCTTTAATGTTTACTTCATTAAAATGTATTTTGATCAGTTCATTTAAGTGGGAAAAGTTCTATGAGCTTTATTTCTCTTTTGAAAGACTTTTCAACTCCTGGGACTTAAACTATTCCATGTTAAGCACAGGAATACTTTTTTTCCAATTACTGCCCCTCTCTCCCAACAGTCAAAATATGGATAGTAGAACATTTTTCATGTTTTCAGTTTGACAGTGTCTCTTTTGTGATAAATGCATTCTGTTTCTTGGTTTGTTTTATCTTTTTTTTTAATATTTTTTTTCTTCCCCTGTGTTAAGATGTCTTCTGATAGCTACCAGTGCAGGCAGATTCCTCTTCCAGATGACACCGGGATGGACTTTGATGATGATGTTACAGAACTGGAAACTTTTGGAGCAACTGTCAAGCTGTCAAGAACTTCTAAAATGGAAAGTACTTTTCCTACAATTAGTAACACTGCTAAAGTTTTATCACATGGCCTAAAAGCATGGAAAAAAAATACATCCACCATAAACAGTGGAGATGAAGAAGGGAAAACCACCACTTCTGAGCAAGGAGTTTCAGCATGTGCCAGCATGCAGCTTCCATCATCAGATGGCGTTCTGTGCCTCAGCCCTGAAGAAAATTCTTCTCATAAAAGCTTTAATTCAGAGGAGGTAGGACTGAACAAACCACAGCATGTTATGACCAAAGAAGTATTGAACAATGAAACACAATTAAATACTCTATCTAATGCTGTGAGTTACAAGAAAGAGTCTGATGCTGCACAAAAAAATGAGACTTACCCTTCTTTATGCAGTAGTGACACAGACGAGGAGCGTTTGGTAATTGATACAGAATGTAAAAACACTGATTGTTGCAAAACAACTGTACCAAAAACTGTTTGTCATACCTCAACAGAGACTGCCAAATCTCCTTCCCCCACCCAGATTCCATTAGCAAGCACAACTGATGGAGCAGATATCATGGATCAGGGAAAAAATGCCTCCAGGAAGCCTGTAAGAAAGTTGTCGAAAGAATTTGATCCTGTTGGACAGATTTTGAAAATGCAGACTGAACTTCTCAAGTCACCTTCCCAAAAAGCTCATGAGCAGCCAGTGGTGAGCTGTGATCACTCTAATGCTACGCCAGCTCATGTGCCTCAGTCTCCAAAACCACTGGTGACCTCCAGCACAGAAACTGTGCCAACCCCTGCCTCAAATCCCAACAGCTCATCTAGAAATACCTGGACTTGGCTTTTTCAGGGAATGCCAAAGAGTAAGTAATTGTGTTCAGTGTGTAAGGAGAAAAATTCCAAATTTTCAGTAAAATTTAACAGAAGAACATTTTAACTCCTTCATCTGAAGAACATCCTGAAGAATATCTTGAAGAACATGTTCCTCTATTATATTTACTTAGAGATGTGACATAATATTTTCTTTTTTTTTTTTAACAATACCTTCTCTGGGTGAGAATTACTGTCTTGCACACAAAAGGGAACATTTTGGGAGCTGTTTGTCCACAGAGGTCAATGTGAAATACTGTTTTACTTTAGAGAAACAGAACTTTGTTATACACAAGGTTTTTAAGCAAGGAAAAGAAATCATTGGGTAGTGAAATTAGTTACTTTTCCTCAGAAATTCAAATATTTGAGTTGTCTGATCTGCAAAAATAGTTTGTTGTCAATCATTTTGTATTTTCTGTAGGAGAAAATTTTAGTCAAATTATGCAATTAAAACTTGAAAGAAAACTTGAAATTTGGGTGTCTAATCCTGAGACTCCTAGTTCAGTTGCTGTTTCTTAGCTCCTAGTAATCTGTTCCAGAAGATTAATGAGGACTCGCTACAGGCCACCTCTCCAAGTTTTCAGGTATTTAGCTGGAAATTGAACCTATGCTACACCCAGACTTCAGCCAAGAATTGTAAGTCCTGAAGATCTAGGGACTACGAACTCTGAGGTTTTTCTCAGATGCCTGAGTTCTTTCTGAGCTTTGTACAACTGAAGTTAGAAGCACTTTATTGTATTCATTAAATTGACAGGATACCAGGCAGGTTGCATCAGGACATACTCTTTTCCTCAATGATTTAATTCCAGTGCTTTTTGGTGGAAGAACATGTTTTGCTGGTATTTTCTGACTAGCTGTGCATTTGATCACATAGGAATTAATTACTTAATCTGTAATGGAAACAGTTAACTAATTCTGGTTTTACTTGAAATTGTGTTATTACTTCCTACACTTTTGTTGATTTAATTGAATTTTAATAGTCAGTAAAAGACAATGTCTCCTCCCTCAGTTTGAAGGGTTGAGCAGCATGGTACTCCTATTTCTCTATATCTTCTATATCTGTTTGATAACAGATTTTTTTTTTTCTTTTTTTAATAGAAGTAGTGAAACCAATATTGCTAAGATGCTGAAGTGTGACTGTGAAAGAATAAAAAACATAATTCTACAAATTGAAAGTTCTATAAGAAGCTGATAAACCTCTATCTATGTGTTTTTTTGTAGAAACCAGCACTCAGTCAAATATTTTACTATCAGAAAACTGTTTCGGGTCACTCAGATGATAGTATCTCATGCAGTACATACATTTATTCAAAGATGCACATAAACTCTGAATTCAATGTATTTATTCATAGCACTACAGAAATACCTATTTGTTTATTTTAAATGTTTTGTTAAAATATGTTTGAGGGATGTTTGTTAACCTACCTCAAAGCTGCATCTGGTGATCTAATAAGTGTTTCTTTTGAATATGCCAGTATTGAAGTTGAAGCAAACTCCGTTTGGAACAGAGGCTTACGCTGTCATCCAAACCTGAGCCTTGAGTTGTTTCAGTAACTGATAAATGGATGGCAACTCTCAGGAGGCGTTCATTGTAAATAGAATTTTTGTCTCCTTTGTGCTGAGTGATGGTGGCTTGGAAAACTGCCTTTGAATTACATTTATACAAGAATGGAGTCTCACATCTCTCTTTGTATAAGAAACCTAATGATTAGGATAAAATACATGGGAATATTTAAACATATACTTCAACCCATACCAAAAAAACCCTACTGCAAGACAAAAAAGCTATTTAGCATCATCATAAAGAATGTGCAAGAGTGTGTAATCTTCTGGTTTATTTATTTTCTAAAGGAAAGCTGCCACATGAACTTCAGCTGCTTGAAGAGGACCCTTCAGAGTATAAAGCACCTCAGGATGGCAACCTTGTGTATAAGCTCTTCAGTTTGAATGATCTGTTGTTACTTGTGCGTTGCAATGTGCAAAAAGTGAAGTCATTGCCACGGTACCAGAAAAAGAAAAAAGCCCCAAAGGTACAGATTTTGCCCTTAGGTTTTTTGGGGTTTTTTTTTCTAAACAGTTGCGCTCAACGTGCATCTCTGGGAATCCCAGTACTTCATTGCATTTGTGTTTTCACTCAGACAATTAGTACACTTAATTGTGTCTTCTTTAAGTAAATGTTTGCTGTAGGAAGAGAGGGAAGAATAACTTGTTATTTCATTTAACCTACTTGATTAGAAGATAAGCAAGTGTGATTCTGCATTTCTTACTACAGCTGCATTACAGTAATAGGCATGAGTAATTATGTAAACTAATGTCAGTTTGAACTATTCTTAAAAGTTAATGTAGTAATTAGGTTTTTGCCCCAAGGCTTTGAGAATGTTCAGGATCATAAATACTTTCAAGCAAGATTCAGCCTTGCTATTATGCCTAGTTAAGCACAGAAATAGATAGAACGAACATAGGATACATTTAAAGATAAAAGAGGTTCTGTTCATTCTGCTTGAAAGGACTATAGTGTACTTCTTAGCAACTTGTTTGTTTTAAGGAATAAAATGCTTTAAATGCAACTGTAATCCAAATAATTATTGTAACATCAGGTGAAGGAATGTTTATTCTTGAATCCTGAGTAATTTATTACTTTGTCAGGAGTTTTCTGAAACATTCGACAAATTTTATGTGGTATGTCCCCCCCCGCCAAAATACCAGAATTACAGCAGGCAGGCGTTCTGTGCATTGTTTATGTTTTCTTGAAATGGAAATAGATCTTTGTAACTCTGATTAGTTGCTAAGGTTTCATGCTCAAAATTTTATTTTTAAGAAATACCATCTCTTTGCTATTGACCTACTGCATATAAAGGCCTGTGCGTAGCTGCTTGGTTTGTTAGTCAAAAATTGAGCACTGTTAGTATTACTTAAAATTCTTGCTGAAATTTAAACTGTGATTTGTCAGTCAGAAGAGGCTTTTTTTTTCTCTGTTAGTGTTAACATGCAAAGGTTAGCCTCTGATTTCAAATGAGAGTCTGAGCATTAGGTTTTAATTTCAAGTGAGATTCTGATAAGGGGAATAAATGTCAGGCTTCCACTAATAATAAGCAAATCAGAAACAAAATTGTTTTTTTCTTAAATTCCTGCAGAGGGCAGTAGAGCACAGAAGTGTGAACTTCAAATTGATTTAGTCCCATAGAAAAATTACTTAGTGGCAAAATTTTATTATTTGTAAATGCTTGTATAGGCTTTGGTTTTTCAGTCCATTTCACCTCCCTCTATAAAGTCTCTGTAGTCCCAAGGTCGTACTGTGGGTTTCACAGAATGCGAGCCACCACACTAAATGTGTGAAATGTCTTTGTTGCTTCAGCGATAGCGGAAGATTATTATGGTTATCAGTTACAAAATGTACTTCAATTATGGATGTTTTGGACAGTGAGGGCTGATTTTTCTTGTATCTTCACTTTTATAGGTTACTCCAGTATTCCTGTTGCCAAAATTAGAATACCAAGTGTACTACGGTGTTGAAGCTCTTACAGAAAGTGAAGTATGTCAGCTGTGGACAGAGAGTATGTTGCATTCTGAATGCTTATTTTATATTGGTAAGTTCATGTTTTGATTTCTGCTTAAGAAATATGTAAGTCTGAATATTCGTAGAATAACAAAAAAGTACTTATTAAAAGTATATTCCATATCTCCTTACTTGTTTTTACTTTCTAATTCTGGTTTTCACTTTTATCTTGAATAAGCACTTTGTCTAAAATTTCTGTTGGGTGGTGATTGAGGATATTTCAGCTTTGGTTTTAGATTAATAATATCCAGTAATCTTTGTTTTCAAGAACTCTATTTATTTGCCTTTCGAAGACAAATGTCTCCAAGTGTGAATTTAGTTCTCTGAAGTTAGTGATCTTCATGACTTAAAGTAACTTTGGGCTTGGGGGGGATTTTTTTGTTTGTTTTAATGTGTCATATACAATATGAAATATCGCAGGAGTGGTAAAAAAATTCCTTGATGAAATGTGAGCTATAAATATATGTTATTATTTTGTGAAATAATTTTAAATAAATTTGTTACTACATACCAAAATAGAAGACAAACAGAGGATCAGATATGTGGCTCAGAGGATACTGATTCCTTGGCCTCTTAGCTAGCAGAATGGGAAAAGGTCAAATGTTTCTAATTTTTCTTTGAAAACAGGCAATAATGTTCATATTTCTACACTGATAACATGTAGACAGTTAAGATACAAAAGAATGAGGAAAAACAAGTAAGATAGGGCTAAACCAAGATCTGTCATTCAGAAATAAGAGAAATTACATGCTTTGAAAACAGTTTACATGTGTCTCATACCCAAGGTACTGGGAATAATTTTCTGGCTTTGCAGAAATGAAGTTCCTGACAGAAAGAAGAAAAATACATAGCATAACTGTGTTGAAAGCTTCTTCCCATAGCTATGATATTCCTCAGGAGTTCTGAGCACTAGATGATCTTCCTTAAAACACATTTTCCAGGTTTTCCATTGTCCATATCTAGTTGATCCATGAAATTTAATTTCCTGATACGTGTTATGACTTGAAACACCCCTGTCAAAGGGCCAGTCTTTACACTCCTTGTCTTGTATCATGCAGCAGAAGAAAACGGGAGATATTGTAATTGAATCTATGAATGGGAAGTAACATATGTGCAGTGAGAATGAAGCAGGAAACTACAAAGCTCGTGTAGAAGAGATGACAGCTGTAATTCAGAACACAGAAGATAAAAAGACAATAAAATAAAAAGCATGGAAATGTTCGTAGAAAGCTGTCTTGCTAGTAAAGGCAACTTCTCCAAAATCACATAAACCCAGCACACTAGGATTGCAGTGTTATAAGGAAAGTTTCACTAACAAATGTCCTGTAGAAAATGCTGTGTTCATGTTTGTACAATGACATGTTAAATGTCAGGAAAGTTTTTATGTCTATTAGGATACATACGTTCTGTAGAGAAATGAAAATTATGCATGTAAAAATGTGGCCAGACTGTTTTAACAACTCTTTTAATATATGGAGAGCTCTCCGATACCAATTATCTTGTAATTAGTAAGGGATTAAAGGGAAAATTTGCAACAAAGTGGTTAGTCAAAATGCATTTTAGGGTATGTTTGGCACTTACTACGGAGTGAGAGCAATCCTGTTTGTACAGTGAATGAATGTTCTGCAGTGGGGAACTGCCTTGCTTTCCTGTTGTCGAAAAAAATCTCTGTTTTTTATGGTTGTTATGGCAGCAGTTGTGGCCTGTGGTTGCCTAACCTTTCCACTTGTCCTCTGAATTACACTTTTGCTATTGTTGGCTCATATCAGAATGCTATTTTAGAAATGCTGAGTTCTCTCTTTCCTAATTTTTACAAACTTTGCATCCTCTCATAGAATTATAAGGCTTATGTGAAATCTAATGTATTTGAGGTGATAGTTTTGCTCATTGCATCTAGCTTTGTCTGCTATTCATATTTAATGGAAATTATTTTTCTCATTTTAAATTTTAAAAGCAGTATTTGTTTCTCTAAAAAAAATCCTGACAAAGAGAGAATTATGTACACAATTCTCCATTTTGAATTATGCCTTAACATACAGTACTGAAGCATTTCTGCTCTTTTTTTTCTCTTTTTTTAACAAGCAGAACAATATACTCAAATGCACTGAAATGTAGCCTCCCATAGACAATTTTATCAACATTTTTATTAACATTTCCAGAGTCACAAGCAGCGTGAGGAAATAGTGAAACTGCAGAGAGAGGGCTAATCTGCTTACAAAGTACACAAACTGGAAGAATGCAGGTCTATCTAATCTCCCATCGGTTACAGGATACTTAGCACACAGCTTGCGCAGAAGTTTGCAGACAGCTCATCCAGCCAACACCCCTTTTTATGGAGGCTTGGGGCGTGCAGGAGAAGGCAGGCTGGGTGCTGCAGGAGTTGTGCTGGCTCAAACAGCCGTCCTCTCCTGATACGGAGGTTCCTCGGAGTCTCCTTCCTACTGTAGCCCTGAAACAGGCGCGGGGCCCTAGGCTGGCAGGTTCCATGGCCTGGCCTCTGACACGCTCTTTCTATCTCTGTGCTTGGGAGAAAAAGTCGTCGGGATTGAGAAACGCTGGTTATTCCAGTGATATTTGTTTGTCAGCTCTTGGATGTGCTTCCTCCAGCGGCCGTCCCTGGGGTCCACAGGGATTCTCCTGTTGTGAGCTCTGAGGAAGCACAGGATTACTGTGGGTTGTCGCTCTCCTGCCTGGTAAATCAGTGCTCCCAGCGTGTGGGGCAGGCCCCATCCCACCACTGTTTAAAAAAAAGATTAAAATTCTGCTGCAAATACAAATTTGGACTCTCAGCATCTCACCTGCTTTTGATACTGACAGAATATGTGATTTATTCAGGTAGGCAAAGTGGGGACCACAGATTCTTGGTACCGCCAGGTAGTTTCTAACTGAGGTAGGTAAAAAGACATACATGGAAGTAAATGATCCATTTTATGAAAGACCATCTATCACAGCTTTTAATAGGAAGCGGTTATGATATTCTATTTAGGGATTCTTTTTGCTCTTGTTGAAGAATATTGCAAGGTAACTGTGAAATTCTGAGTTTCAGTTTGTGTTTCTGGGGAGCTGGGAGAAATACAAGGTTGCGAATGTCCTGATTTAAGTAGAGGGCTCTTTGCAACAGAAAGTTTTGTCGTGAAACTCCTGGACAATCTCTAAGTGTGATAATACCGCTGTGTTATAGACAACTTAAAGTGGGATGAGTACTCACTCTTGTTTGTTAATCTGATACCTGAAAGTAAGACTACTGCTATCTTGTGTTTGGTGTAAGCAGAAAGACTTGATTCTCAGATTGCGCTATAATTTGAATTAATCTTAAGTGAAGTATCATGTCCTATAATAGAGGAATTTCTAAATCACCCATAGCAGACCCATAGACTTCTTGCTGTATTTAAATTTACCCCACAGTATGAGTGTGGAAGTATGAAACAACTGTTTGAAAACTCTGATCTTACCATTACTAACACAGTACCTACAACTTGCATTCTTGTTCAGACAGTTCTGAGATAATATGTATCTCAAGTGAAGCCTCTAAAGTTGGTGATTTGAGTGTGTAGCTGACCTCAGTGTTAAGTTGCTTGGGAGTTCTTGGATCTTGAAAAAACTTAATTCACTGTCTCAACGATCTTTATTATTGCCAATAAGATTGGATTGAAAGTTCTTTGGACCTTGGTCTGTTCCCCATAATTGTCTGATGTGGCTCTTCAGTGCTGTATCACTCTGTGGCTGAGGGAGGAATCTCATAGCTCAGCGCAGTGACTCAGCAGCCCTGCCAGCTCAGGAGATGAGAAAGAAAACAGAAGTGTAACTATGGCCTCTGCAGAATTGCAAGGTGTGATAATAAGTTGAATTTTTAATTTTGTGTGTTCTCAAAGAAGGTTGTGATTGCTTGCACAAAAGCAGAGATATTATCATCAAACAAACTTAAGAGTGCTGTTCCTCCTCTTGCTGGTACGGTACTGTGCTCAGTTGTTGATTTAAGTCCCTTGGTACTGAGATAGGAAATCCTGCATCTGCAAAGGCAGTAATCTTTGTGACATGTTTCCCAAATAAGATACTTGTACTTGATCTAAGCAGTAAATAAAGTTGCGATAAGCTTTGTTGATTAATGGGAACATTTTACCCTGACCATTATTCGCTTATTTACATTAACTGCCTAAGCAAAACTTCCTGCAAAAAGAATAGCTTGCCTTCATTTGAATAGGCTAATGTTGGCCTTTTAATAAAGATTATTTGAAAAATGGGTTGGAAAGAAGTACTTACTGTATGGGTAACTTACTGAGTGTCAAGTGTTTTCAATCAGTCACTTCTCAAATATGAGATGCAGTAATATAAATTAGGTATGAGCAGTTCATAGATACTTTTTGTCCCAACTATGCCGTCATTGAGTTTAGAAATGGAGAAGTTGCTGCTTTGAGGAGAGGCTGATAAGGAATGGGGAACACAAATAGATTATTATTTTTTTTTAATAATGACTTCAAGTTTCTTTTCCTCTGCTCAGCAATGCAGAATATTAAACCTAGCTGCTTAGTCCTGCACAAAATACTGATATCAAGAAAAGTAACACATGTACAGTGTTTAAAATAAATGCATTGTCCTAGTGCATTTTTCTTAAATTTGTTAAGAGTTCTTATTTGGTCTTTAATGCTTAGCTTGAGATGCAAAATGCTTTGATTTAGCAGTTTTAACTGTAACTGCAAGAGCAGATTTGTAGTAAGGCAATAAATTCCATTGAGTAGGTTGTATTTCATTATGCCGCCTTCTCCTTCTCCTCCTCGTGGAAGCTGGAATAGAACAGATTTCTGGGAAAACCTTAACATGAGAGAGAACCTGAAGGTGAGGCATGGTCACCACACCAGTGTACAAGCTATGGTAATGATCTTTATTGCTTATCAAGTGAAAACGTAAGCTAAACTCTTCTTGTCGGCCTTTATTTTAAAAATGTGTTGAGAGCTCTGGGTTGTTGCTTCTAGTTATGTCAAAGACAAATTGGCTTTAACGGTTTGCCATGAATAAGGCCTGAATTGTAAATTGTAATTTTTCAGGTGAGGAAAAAAATCAAGAGATGATGGTACAGAATCCCCAGAAAATCAAATAATACAATTGCTTGTATAACTTATCAGAATAGAAAAACAAGTATATTAAACTCAAAAGTAATTTGTTGTCAAAGATAAACTTTCATGATCTGTCCAGTAAAGAAGTATATTGATAAAGATCAAAAAAACTTGAGAAGATACAAACTAGCTGATGAGATCAACGTCATGGTAAAATGAGGTTGTGTATCCCAGACGTCACCCAGGATGTAAGATTTTCTGGAATCACGGGCGTCTCCCGGATTTAGGAAGACAAACCAAATATGGATGTCGGTACTTAAAGCAGCTGTGTATTTTATTTTTCGTTGTTGTGCAACATTGGTAAATACTTTTCGCTGTTCTACATGGTAAAAGAGCAAAATTTTTAATTCCTTTTAAAATGCATAGGTCTGGAAATTATGCTTTTGCATTTTTTCTCTTTTATTTTTTGTGTATTAATTGAATTAATATTTTACAGGACGTATTGATGCTTTTACATCAAAGCTTATTATGTTAGAAAAAATTTCTCCAGAAAGTTTAAAAGAAAAACTTGGATTGATTAAGTGAGTATTTTAGTCGGTTTTTTAATTAACAAATTTGAAACCCTAACAAGCCTTGCAAGTTACTACTTTCATAACTTTTTTTCTTTTTTGCAGGCCTGCAAATTCATTAAATATACTTCATCACATTTTGAAAAAAGTGTCTGAGTAAGTGCTCTGTTCTTGTTCATTGCATTTATTTGCAACATTTTCCAGCTCAACTTATTTCTTTTGTAGAATGCTTGTCTACTCTTTGATTTTTATTTTTCAGATGCATGAAATATTTTACAGATTCTTTTAGGTCTAGCATAGCATAACGGCAATCCTGTGTAAAAATGTGCTTAGGAATACAGGTTTCATATAAATGATACAAAAGAATCAGAACTTGGTTTTTATGAACTACTTATTCAAAAAGAGGGGGCTGGATGCTTATGAGCTGATTGAGTAGTTCACAGGAGTGAGTTGTAGCATTATATATGTGGGCTGACATTTCACATTTGGACTTCAGTTTAATTCATGCTTCTTTGTCCATAGTCTTTTTATAAAACAGGGATTGATAAGTAAATATTGAAAGATGTTTTTCTTTTGCAGTAAGAACTTAGTAGCTATCCTGATCAAATTAAACAAAACAAAAATATTTCAATAATATTTTTTATTTTGAACTTTATCTTTTCAGTTTGCAAGAGGGCTCTTACTTATTAACTCACGCTGCAGGAGATTCTTCAGTTGCGATCTACAAGAGTTCTCTTGACAAGACAACAAGAGCATCATATAACTTACATAAAGCTCACTGTGATCTGCCTGCTGTGCCTGCCACTCTCTCAGTCCCATGGGTGCCACTAGATCCCAGCCTCCCTTTGCCCTATCACCTGAGTCATGGAAGAGTTCCATGCACCTTCCCACCTGCACCCCAGGAAGCCACGTGGAAACAGAAGGTCAGTATGACACTTGATGGAAAAGCAGATTTGCAGTTTTGAAATAATCTATTTCAGTCCCTTGGATATATAGCTGGTGTATTTATCTGTCATCTTTGGGGATCAGAGAGACCCTTCAGAGTTCTGGATCCGCTACCAAGTGGATCAAGTGTACCAAGAATAGGAACACTTTTTCCTGAGAAAAAAATTCAGGTGAGATTCATCCCCCCTAGCTTCAAACATTATAGTATGGAAAAACAGTATTTAAGATCATTGTGCTGTTAACAGAGGGAAATGGAATATTTTGCAAGATGCATCTCCACATCAGGGTGGGCCTCTTAGACTGTAGGACGTGCTGTAGAGTTGTCATTTTCTCTAATGACTACAGGAGTAAAGGTGAGTAGCACAACTGTAGACAGGTAAGATCAGGTGAGGTGAATTCTACTGTCAGGGCCTGTTCTATTGAGTTCTCATTGCCGTTCTCTGTGATACATTTGGTGTTGGGGCTTTTATAAAAACACACCTTTTTCCCCTGTTTGATGGCAAAGTGTTCTCAAAGTGAAGTTCTGCGTCTTTAATGAGAGCTAATAATACCTTTTGGACAGCAAAAAGAATGTAGCGTTTGCCTTAATTAAAAGCTTTGTAATTTATAGGCTTGCAGTACAGCTGAAATAGATACAATGTTTGCATTTATAAGGGTTTTCTAATTTTGCCTTTGTGATGGTACTTTTTGTTGATGTACCTTTTTGTCAAACAATTTCAGGAAGGACCTTTTAACCTGTTTTCCTGTTTTTTCCATCCCACCTTGATCTCCATTTGTCCCTCTGTCTTTCTCCCTGATGTCAAAGTCTTGAACTTGTTAGGCTATTTCAGCAGAAACTTGACATGTCTTTGAGGCCTATGATGTTAAATTTTAACCATCTTAGTGAAAATAAGTAGCCAGGAAGAGGAGAGGGATCCAGATTAGTGCTTCCTCTGTGGAAACAGCAATGAGCACTCGGCTGTAGTAGTTGATCCCCAAAATCTCATACAGACAAGGGAGTTTGTAAGCAAATCAGCCACAAAAAACAAACCAAACATGTCAGAGCTTTTACATTACTAGGTGTGGGATAATTGTATGGCAAGGCAGAAAACCAAACAACATTACTGTTTAGTAAAAGTTTAAGTACTTTCCTCAGTCCCCCTCATGCCACTCTGAAATTTCTCATGTCTTTAACATATTGATTGATTCCTGATTTCAGTGGCTCGGGTGAAGCATCTCGGATCTGTTCTTGGTTGTTTGTCATGTTAGACGAAGTTCTTGTAGGGGTAACAGTGATTCTTTATAACAAAAATAAGGTTTCCTTTTAGCCGTCCAAAGTATCTTAGCACTGTCGGACAAATTGCCATTGATCACCTGTCTCTGGTTGCTCTGAACTCCTTCAACTTTGAGGAAACTTTCATTGCAATTCAGGTGACTTCTCTGACATACAGAAACTTAAATTCTCATTCCTATGCTGTTCCCTGCGCAGTGAAACATTTGTAATAATATATACGCCATACTGTTACTTTGTATAGAGGCACACATACTATGTGTAGAGGCATGGAAATACCTTAATTTAGGAAAACACAATTTCTGTGTCTCAGACATAAATATAAACTTGTGTGGATGGCTTACTCCTTTTTACTGAAAATCATCAACCTTACTCAGCATTTATGTTCTGCATGCCTTCAGAGAGCAGTTAAATCTAAAGAAATAAAATGTTTTAAGTGTTCGACTGTGATCTTCTTTCCAGACATCATTACTATAAGTAAAAATTAATGTAGTCTAAAAGCCACTAACATGTGGGTTTTGTTGCTGTTGTTTTTAAAACAGAGCAGAATTTATTATTAGAAAAAGAATTAATTGTCTGCACCTAAAGAAACTTTTGATAGAAATTTTGTGGAAATGTTTTAGGAATCCCACTTTCTTTGTAATTTATGCTGATGAATCATGATGCATATCGTGCTGTGGAAGTATCCCCAAGATCCCACCCTCAGCTCTTAATATTTTGAGCAGGTAGTATGATACTTTAAAAGTAAGAAAATTTTCAAGCATCATTTTTCTTCAGCATAGGTTTACTTATTTGTGTAAAAGCCACATGCTAACTATGCCTGGCCTTAGTGGACTGTGGGATGCTTTTCAGGCCCAGTTACATGTTTTAGCCACATCCTGGCTCCAGTGAGGGCAAAACAGAGTTGTGCATCAGTTCTGAATTACCTCATGCACTTTGTTTTCTTCTGCCAGAAATCCAGGCACGTAGGCAAGGAAGGGACAGGAATGGCCAGATCCCACTGGTGACAGGAAGACCAGCTGTGCCTGTCGAGCAGTCCAGATGTGGTCTCTGAGTCTGGCTCAAACGACAAGAAGTAGAAGGCAGTTCTCTGAAGGCAGTTGTAGACATTTGTGCTTACTAGAGATTTAAGATTATTAATTGTAGTTGTGTTTGGCTTTGTTTTTTTTTATTCTCTCCCCATATGTGTCTAGATGACTGGGACGAAAGGACAGTTGGACACACCCTGTGAGGGAAAGCCAGCAGTGATGGAACTAAAAGGAAGTCCAGCTAAGCATGTTAGAAATGAAGGTGTGGCTGCAAAGAAGCTGAAGAAGAATTACTGCAAACAAAGAATGGTGAAGAAAAAGTGGAAAATGAAGTATAACAAAATGCAACCGAAGTAGAAATAGCTGAACCCTGCTGTGATAAGTATGGCCTGGAGAAGGACGAGAGGAAACAAAAAATCTCAGGCATTCTTGCAGCTTCAAAGGCACTAGAACAAGCTGGTGGGGGAAATGGCATAGCTGAAATATTGTATAAACCTTTAACCCTTTTTTATCTCAGTGGACACATTTCAAGTGAAATGTCAAATTCAGTCAGAGAAAAAAAAGAGCAAGTGTCTGCAGCAGAGTTTAGGGGACAAAAGGATCTTCTTTCTCAATGATTTTTGTAGAAAAGCTGTGTCTTGAAGAATGAAGTGGTGGTTGACAGCAATATCTGATGTCACATAACAAGGAAAATAACTTTTTACCTTTCTTAACTCTTTCAGAATCACTACAGATTTTTATTCTGACATAATTTAAAAATACATTTTACTTTGTGTAATGTGCATAAGGGGAATAACTTGGATTTAATGAGTTAATTCTTTTAACACACAATGTCTACCAGTTTTTAAATTACTTATAAAAATACATTTTCTTTTTAGGATGATGTAACAAATGAGGTTTGGGTAACAAAAGCTGTGTTTATTTGCATAGTATGTGCCATAAATTTGTACTAGGAAACTTACAAGTAGAGCTAAACGTTAAAGCAGATATATTTACGCTCCCTAAAAACAATTTGCAAAAATCGTTCAGATTCTGATGTGTCTTCAAAAATTAATATTGCAGATATTTACTGTATTACTAAATGGTTACAGACTAAACCTCCTATCAGATTGCACACTGATAAGCACTAGCGCTTGCCTGAGGTATTAAGGTTTGCCTGGAGGAACAAGTGATAGGATCAAGGCCTTAGTCATCATTCCAAAAACCCAACCAGCCTGCGCTATACGTCAGCAGTTTGCTTGAAATTTAGAGCCAAACTGACAGAGTGAAGTTAGGAAAAGACAATACTTATTATCAAAAGGCCAACCAGTGGGATGACACATGGTTTCCTCGTGAATATGAGTTGTGTGGAAAAATTAAAGTTGTTTTAAATGTTAGTATGTAAACACATTGTGTGTATATAAGTGCATTTTTCGTATTACAGCTATTTTACGGTACGTACTTTATGTTTCATCAAACAATTTCAACAGAAACAGTTCTTGAAATTGAGGCTCGAAAATTATATTCTCTATCATTGCTTTTGTTTTGTGTTTTCTGGATTTCTGTCTATATTTTCCTTTATTTGGAGTATTGTTTTTAGAAGAGCACATAAATTCTTGAAAAGTACAAGAATGAGCCCAATAAATCCTTCCCCAGTTTTGCCTTTTAAACAACATGAATAACTTTTTTTAAATGTCTGAGCCAATTTTTGTTTGGATGATGTTCTAGAGAGCTGTTTGTATGCATGCTTAAACTGCTAACACACACAAAAAAAAGGCCTTAAAGATGTTCTTCCAAGTGTTTTGTTTGGACTAAGCAAGTTACCAAGTACACACATCTGATCAAGCATTCTTCTGCTCACGGGGGCTTGACACATTTTAATGTCATGAAAATAAAAATTAAATATTTAAATTGTTTACTGGAGTATACCTGTTATAAAATCCCAAAGACAGTCTTTTTTAAAGCAGGCTTAAGCATTGAATATGTATTAAAAACTCTTCTTTGTGAAATACAAAGCATTTTCTGATTATTTTTTCCTCCACTGTTACATATATTTATTGTATTGTTCAGTTTATTGTTTTTTTGGCCACTACTGCTTTTAGCTGCAGTGATATGTTAATAACAAGCTGAACTGGCTTAGAGCTGTTTGCAAATTACAAATAGTTCTGATTTGAAATCGTAAATGTACTTAGTGACCTCTCATAACAGGAATATTTTAGCTATGAGTCATTTTTGTCGGATAACTAACTCTCTGTAGGGATTCAAAGCCATTTTGTTTGTATATAGAAAACGTTTTGCCAGACTTGTATGGAATTTAGTTTCTCAATGCAGTTTCATGTGTTAGAAATGTATGGTCTATTTGCCCTTGTGTGTGTATATATACACATATATATGTGCCTAAAAGATTTGCATATTTCTCTTAATAGTATACTATTATACTATGCTAGTATACTACTAATAATAGTATACTAATGGTAGTTTCTTATCTGTTTAGGGTAGGTAGGGAATCTGCAGTTTGTATACAACACATAAGGTGGCTTTTTAATTCACAGCTACGTTTTATTTTATTGTTCTCTTTTGTATTAAGTGGGACTGGTAATTTGCTTTAAGTGATTCAAGTGTTTGAAAGACTGGTTTTGTTCACGTCACAGGTGGGAGTAACAAGGTATTTGCATCTAAAATAAAAGTATGTTTAAAAAAGTTGGATAAGAGGAGAAGGGGAAAGTGATAGCACGTTTATTTCAGGCAGTAACATCTGAAATTTGAAACAAACAAAATGTCTAAACAGAATAATTGGTAAAAATTATTTCTGTAAAGTCAGAAAATGTGCTAAATATTAGTTGCTGGGTCGCTGGTTCTATATAGACTGCTCCTGAAGAGACAGTTACCTGTGGAGGAGAAGGAAGGAAAGCAGGAGAGCCTGACTGCTGTGATGCCACCAAAGTATAAATTCCTAAATGTAACACAGATTGTAAAGGTGTGGGAAGCAGGAAACTACAGCTGAAGGAGAGTGAGTGGGCCTGGATCTTACCCTGCAGGTAACTGTTGCTCTACAGCTAACTAATATTGATCTTTTTTATGTAACCTCAACCCACCCAGTTTAGGAAGAAAATTCCACAGATCAGTGTTTGGAATGGATTGTGTGTGTTTATCTTGCAATTTATATGGCTTGTTTTTAAATTTAATTACTACTTTTTGTCACTCCGTATATCTTTTACATATGCATGTGGAGTGTGTGGTTAGATAGAATTTATCCAGTATAAGAATATTCCGATTATATTTTTCCCATGTAATTTTTTTTTTTTAATGTAGATTTACCTGGTGGTAAAGGAGGAAGTGTGTGCTGTCCTCTCTTTTTGAACAGAAGCTCTAAGTGCTGGAGAACGAGTCATCTGCAAACTTGGTGAAAATGGAATCCATCATGTTATCCAGATGACCTACAGGAATAGTGAGTAGTAGTGGACCCAGTATCAGCCACTGAGAAGCTCTGTTCATGACCAACTCCAACTGCTAGTTCAGCTTTGGGCTACTAACCACTAAAAATGGCAGAAACCCTCTGAGAAAGTAAGGTTTTCCATACTGGATAAGATCACTGATACAAAGTCTGGTTTCTCCATTCACGAGTACAAGGTTAAGCTGATAGCTTTTTATCACGCTCAGACAGTTTGAAGTTAGTTTTGGAGGACTAGAGGGGGAATTCTCACCTCATGTTTGAAATTACAGGTTGACATATGTGCAAAACCATGGAACTTCATCGGTTCTCTATATTAGCATGAATAACTGCAATGGGTTTAACTGGTCATGAAACCTAACTTTTCTTCATTTCTGCAGTAATAAGTGTTTCCAAACTTTATTTGCACTATGCACTAATTCATCATTTACGAACTTCTTTCATTCCCATATATGACTGGCTAAAACTTTCCATCTCTCCCCCTTCTCTATTTGACTGCAAAGCCTTTTAGGGACACAATAGGTGTTTTCCATGTACAATATGTTGGGAATAGATTTAATATGGGTTGTTTTTTTTTTCTATCTTTTCTAATGTAGCCTGGCAGCTGGAAGCACAAAAAACTGGGACCAAGTGACCAGCCTGGCACTCCTCTGCTGGCGGGTGCGAGCTGCTAACAGCAAGTGACTGTCCCAGCCCTGTGCAGTGAAGTTCAGTAGCAGACGTTGAATCATTTGAAGAGGTACTTCTTTTGCTTCTGGTTTGCTTGCCCTGTGTTTTAAATAGCAGCTTGTCTCCAAAAGAATATAAAAATCAGTTCAGACATGATCTTTCAGAGTGTTTAGTGCTGACTGCCATTTTAGCTGCTTTTAGTTCTACTAATAAAAGGATTAGTAGCAACTCAGTCCCTCTACTAAATTAGAGGATTTTCAGTCTCTCCTGTCTAATTTCGACTGGATGTATAACTATCTCTGAGACGTCACATAACTAAGCTCCTTCTTTCTTAACAAAATGCGGTCTTTCTTAAAAGGGTGGGTACAGTCTTTCCCAGAAGCACTGTCACTGCTTGATATGTTATATTTCTGTGTGCTAAAAGGTTTTTTTTTACTTGCCGTTCAATTCTGTTTTTCTGCAGAGGTTCTTAAATTTTGTTTGTAAGTTCAAATTCCATTACTCTATGCAAAAATTATTACATTCAAATGTTTTCAAAGATACATTGCTGTATTATATATCCCAAATTAAATTTCCTTCTTAATGCCAGAAAACAACTTTAGTGGCCAGGTGACAGTCTATTTAATAAGTACAGAGCATTTGAATTATACCCTACCTCGCTTGTAGGTGGAGGATTATCACTGACAAAAAGCTGATTCAAGCCATTCTGAGACTTATGAAGGTCTTCTGTAGATAATCTCAAGGCTGCTCTTACTGACAGGTCTATCTTGAAGGCAACTCAGTCCCCATCTCACTGTAAGACAGAGGAGACACCATTGTCCTGTACCTTGCAGAGGGACTGCCTTCTTGTTGTCTTTATGGAACTGCAACAATACACTGCCAGTTTCTAAATTGTTTGTAGAATAATTTAGTGTAATGATTATTAAACAGTATCAGTCCTAGCGCAGACTTCAGGGCATTCCTCAGCATCGATACTTATCTCTTCTGTGGGGTAGGATGCTTATGCCGTGAGCAAAAAAGAAAAAAAAAAAAAGATGAGAGCCCCATTCTTCCATGAGAAGTGTAATAATAGAGGTAATACAGAGGAAACAATCTGTCTTTTAATGATTTCAATAAATTTTAAAAGAAAGTTGTCACTTCTAACTCAGGAAGAAAAATAGTGAATAATAGTAACGGGGGGCAGGGAACGAGCTAGTACAGAACCCAGCGAAATATTCCCTCATTCTTTCAATGACATATGGCAGCCACGTCGTTCTGATTATTCACAGCATGTTTTCACAAGTGTACATTTCCTATTTTTGATTGCCCTATTAGAGGAAAACCGTTTGTTTATTTTTCTAATGGGCAATGTCCTTGTTGAGAAGAGCTAAAAGGAAAAGTATCCTGATATTGTTGACCAAAGCTGTATAATCCAGTCAGCCAAGCTGGCTTCCTTCAGCTTGACAGTGGTAGTTCACACTACAGTTATACAGATATATTTAGAGCAAACTTTTCCAAAATATGTATGAATACATCTCAGTTTTACTAAAACTCACTCAGAGATACTTAGCTAAACAGTTTTCCACATGTGCACGTGATTGCTCTGTTGTAAGGCAGGAATGTGACATTACCTGCCTGTGCCTCAAGAACAAGCACGTACCCCATCAGTGCCTCTCATTTCTTAGTTGCTGCTAAATGAATATAAGTTGTGAAGAAAGAAAAAGAGCAAGCTCTACCAGGTACTGGTATACTGTTGGAATTTATTTGCACAAAGGTAATGATCCTGACTCTAAAAAAATCTAGTTTTAAAATAATTGTGAATTTTAATAAACCTTGACATACTTTTGAGAGTGCTTTGAGTGTTTCAAGAGTATTTCAAGACTTTTGATACTCAAGGACATGTGACTCAGACTATACTTTTGAAATTTTACCTTGAAGTGAGAGCTATAGACTCCCCTTTCATTCTCCACCACTGCTTTTTTCAAGGAATCCTGAATTCTCACATTATTGCAGGCTTTTAGGAACTAATGCCTTCAGAAGAACAGCAAACATGAGACTCTTATACCAATAATGTTGTGTAAATGTAGCCAGTCATTTGCCAGCAATGGCCTTGTGAGCACCATGAAAATAGTTAGATTTGTATGTGTACATAGAAAAAGAGCTAATGAATTCCTCAACAAAACAACATCAAAGATGATAAAGTGATGCCAAATGAAGACTGATTGTTCCTTATGTATTCCATATGTCCTGAAGGTGTTCCTGGAGAGGTCACAATGTTATAACTACCCATCCTCAGCACAAATATAGTCAGAAAGTTTGGGCATTTCCTTATGAAGATCTTTTGTGATTTCATTGTAAGTTTCCAGAGTATCACAGGTATCTTTCAATGATCAACTGTGAAACATGAAAAATAGACAAAATTTTGACCAGTCTAGTGCTTTTTCAGACCTGAATCTGAAGTAAAAAGTGGCAAGCTTTGTACATCTGGGCCTAGAATCAGTTGTTGGGAGCAGTTATCCTCAATTGGAGTTTACCTTTCTGTTTCTAGGTTAATTTTCTGACTTGAGGACGCATCTGTATACCTGAGAGCTTTTTATACCTGTTTTCCCAAATACACCTAACAAAGTCTTGCCTCTGACTGTTAATCTTTCCTGCCCTAAGGTTTGCTGCTACCACAGTCACTGCTGTAGTGCATTCATGCCATGGTTTTTAAAGGAATGATGCAGCATATCTGATCTCACTGAGGTATCCTCATTGAGGTCTCACTGAGCTCTTCTCATTTCAATTCTCCCTTCTGCTATACTTTTAGTGTAGAAAGAAATACATAAGGATTTTCTGTAAATAAATTTGTAAATACCTGTGTTAATAATCAGTGTAGTTAAACTCACTCTGAGATCAATGCTTCTAGTGTATTTTTCAGAAACTGTTCTAAAGCATCTATGAATAAAATGAGAATGTTTGTTTAGAACTTCATTTCATCACTGAAAATCAGATTTGGAGTAATGTTGCAACCTTGAAAATAATTCAAGTCTGTTCATGGCTCTTACCTTAATGCAGACTTCAAAATTTGTTTACCTTATAGTTGAGTGAACAGCATGAGTGCCACCCTGTGCCAGGCCTGCTGCACCTTCCACTACATTCAAGAGCTTCACCTTCCAAATTTTTTTGCAAACAATTGAAAAGAAATAACCAGGAAGAATGCAAAAAAATTTCTACCGAAACAAGTCACTCATCAGTCTGTCCAGTGTGGGCTGTACTGCCTGGCAGACAGAGCATTTCAACAAATATTTTAATAGTCTGGTTAAATTTGAGCTAAAAAAGAGGGGAGGAAGGTAGCTGTCAGAACCCCATTGCTTCTTGTCCCCTCTGCTGAGCCTGTCGTGTTGCCATGTTAAAAGCTCCCTCAGCAGTCAAAACCCATTTATTTCAGAAGCATGTCGTTAACACACCCAGTGCTGCAGTTGTGCACTTCTGTTCCTTTGATTGACAGAAGGGCACTAGTCTCGTGCAACTCTGGATATTCTTTGTTATTAGCAAGAGTAATAAAATGAAAAGGAGGTATAGTTACTGCATAGCTGCACATGCTACTTTGAACAGATTTTGTAGTAATTTCCAAATTGACATGTGCTCACATTGCAGTTGACATTCTTTGGCTTCTTTGTGGGTAACAAGCAGAATGCACAATAAGATTGATTAGATGGGCTTGTGTAATCCAAAAGCAGCACATTTAGGTTAAGAAACCTGCAGAAAATACTGTACTGACACTGGCATTACCTCTGGAGAAAAAGAAACTTGTGGGTCAATAGACCTGTCGCTACAGCCTTTTTCTTTCTTTTTTTTTTCCTAAAATACAAGCAGTGAATTTGTATGCAGGTGCATGAATAAATAAGTTTGTTTCCTGCCTTCTCCTGGGAAGATATTTCACACGACATCATATTTATCAAAAGAATGTATTATCTTCCCTTTAAAGATTTTCTACCAGCCCAAATAGACAAACTGAGAGATAAAATATTGTACGTGTTGCTTTGGCTTTTAAGTGTCTGTGGCTTCATGATACTGTGTTTGTATGCATGTGTGTTGAGGTTTAACCCCAGCTGCCAGCTGGGACCATGCAGTCATTCACTCACTCCCCCCATTGTCCTCCCCCCCTCAGTAGGGTAGGGAGAAGAGGGAGAAAAAGGAAAAAAATCTCATGCATTGAGATAAAGGCAGTTTTATGGAACACTAACAGAAGAGAAAATAATAACAATGGTAAAAGTATACAAAAAATAGTGATGCAATACAATTACTCACCATCTGATGATCGATTGCCCAACCCTTCCTGAGCAACAATTGCAGATTCCTGCCCTATGGCCAAAACCCATTTCTATACTGAGCATGACATCTATGGTATGGAATATTCCTTTGGCCAGTTTGTCCTGTCTATGCACCCTCTCAGCTTCTATGGGAAGCTGAAAAAGTCCTTAACTTAATATGAGCATTACTTAACAATAACTAAACCAATATGTTTTATCAACATTATTCTCCTACTAAATGCAAAACACAGCAGCTACTAGGAAGAAAATTAACTCTATCCCAGCTGAAAGCAGGACAATGTGTCAGGCTGTGGCTTCAGCTTCAGGTTCTAGCCTTCTACACTGGCAAAACTCTCCTCAGGCTTCCTTTGGTACAGTCTCTCTCCACAGGAAGGACAGCAGCTGTCTGTCTTTCCATGTCTGTTCTTGCTCATCAGTCAGCTGTGCTTCCACTTCTTCTCTCTGCTGTTCTGAACTCAGTTATTCTATACACACTGTGATGGTTGCTCATTATTGTATTAATGACTTCTTCGATGATAATAGCATTAGAAAAACAACCCTTAGTGTTGAGGACCTGTTTGAAAATTACCTGTATTATGCTATCACTAAAACAGCCTTTTGTTTCATCTCCTTAAAGGTTAGAGAATCTGTTCTTGTGTGAGTACTAGCTACTAGCACACACGACACTGCAGTGAAAGTTATCCAGCGCAAGTAGAAGTGTTTACTGAAGGCTTATTTGAAAGCAAACATTAATGAAAACATTAAGAATAGGCTTTTAATATATTTTTCTGATTCATTAAAGGAAGAGTTCTCCGGTTTTAGAATTCAAATGCATGCTTCTGACCTGGAAAAACAAGTCTTAGCCTGCCTGGCAGAAACGAATCTCTTCATAGCAGCCATTCCCTTTCACTCAATCAACAGCTTTTTTGATGTCAGGTTACTTCGCCTTAAATTTTATCTAAAGCTATAAGATGCCACTTGAAAGAGCAAAAAAAGACATCAGTGTAGAAAGTCATACTTAATGAAGAATTTGTGACATTCCTTTGTGTTGCAAGACATCATTTGTTTCCTAGCTAGTACCCCAGCTGAGCCTAATTAGGTAATGAAGTTCAGATCATGTAAGAACTTACTCAAAATCCCAAGTGTTTTGTGTTATTTTATACTAAAACAGGGTTGATACGTTTTAAAACAAACAAAAAACCCCAAAAAACTTCCTTGCTATTTGACAGAATAATTGATTTTTAATTGAAAATTTACAGCTATGTTCCAGATTGCTGTAGTTATATATGCTGATTTCTGTCAGTGAACTTTAAGTGATTTTTAAATTTGTTTTTAAGGGCCGTTTCAGAGATGGCACGATGTTAAGTAAAAAGGAGAGGCTTTTTGCAGTATGCAGTTACTAACCTGCAGATTTGCCATAAGAACCTGTCGTTTAAGGATTTTTAGAGTAAGTTTAGGTGGTGCTTAATTAGATTCCTTGAAACTTTCAGAATTATTCCCCAAGATTCTCAGGGACATATTTAAGGTGTGACAGCCTTCCCTGTACTTTGGCAGAGGCCAGAGGATTAATCCAAACCATGGGACTGTTTGCGTTGTGAGTCACTGAAGTGGAAAAAGCACATAACGATGGGAAACAATGAAGCAGAACAGACTTGGGCTTACATGAGACCTTTTAACACTATTCCTAGGAAAAATTCCCTGAGGACTTTTGGCAGCTTCCATCTTTTGTAGCTGTTTCTGTCCTTTGGCAAGACAGATCAAACTCTGTAGTGGTTATTCATGCTGGTCTGTTCAGGATGATGTCAGGGGCTCCTACGTGCACTGGTAATATTTCCTACAGTGTTTTCCAGCGTGGTGGCAGTCTGGGGAACGTTGTGGTAGAGCTGGCAGCTGGGATCGGGTTAAGCACTGTGTCATTTAAAGGGGTTTGGTCTCTCTGAATGCTGGAATATATACTGGTAGACTGTTTGTGCTAGCAGCATTGTGCTGATATTGCTGGGAAAGCTGAAGTCCTCATAGTGGTTTTGAAATGTGTCTTTTTGACCTGTTAACGTATACAGGACCAAAGACAGCATGATATCTGGATTCAGATGGAATTGCAACTCTTCAGCCTGAAGTTAATAAAACTGTGCTTGAAGGGATTCATGATAACCTAAGAACAGAAAGTAAAGTTACCTTCTCTAGTATCTGACTATGCTTTACTGCCCATGTTTTACCTCAGATTGCATGATCTTAGGATAAAAAGGCAGCTGGCTGTTAGGCAGGTCATCAGGAAGTCCCCAATGGATTGAGGAAATTAACTGAAACACGGATATACACGTAGTGATTGTTTGTATATCCTGTGACGATTTCATTCAGTGTGAAGACGCTGAATTTTTTCATGCCACCAATACCAGTACAAAGACTTTGGCAAGTGTGTTTCAGTTCTGTTTATGTATGTATCTAGGCAACATCTCCTAGTCACACACTAGATGATTGCTTCTGTGAAGCACACTGGAAAACCAAAAAAGCTAGTGATTCATGTTTTAGTTTAGAAACCAAACTGAACTCCAGACATTTAATACTCACGATGAGTGTATGCCAGAGGAGTTCCATGTGTACCAAAGAACAGAAAAGTTTCTGAATTGCTGGGTTACCATTTCTTCATGATGCCTATTCCTTGCTGAATCTCTGTGTCACTTGAATATATATACCTCTTTGACTTACTCTAATTAGTATGCCAAAGAGAAGGGAAGAAGATGCAATAGTTTGGACTGAGTCATGAGGGAAACAAACCTGCTGCACCTTTGAAATTGCTGACCAGTGTTGTTACCCGTGTCAGCTAGAAAAGAGTAACAAAGGATCTTGCTTCCTTCTGAGTATCCTGACAGAGCACAGATTATTCCATGTTGTTTTCTGTTAACATTGGACAGCCAGTGCAATGGGATTCCACCACGGTGACTCAAACTTTATGGGCTTTGGCAATTGGTAGTGACTTTAATTACGCTGTATATATGCCCTGAGACAGCTTTATTTATTACTAGCTTTTGTGCATAGTCTTAGCTAATATTTTGCTTTGTTGCTCCCTTCTCTTGATTCTGATCCCAAGAAACCCAGGCATCTGGTTCCTTGTGGAGGCAAGGTCTTTGTGCCCATAGGCTTAGCGTGAAGGATCCACTGAGATTGTGAGATAAAAGGACGAGGATGATAGTGTTATTACAGTGGTCATGAGGAAAATCTTTGAACAAAGAAATTAGAGTTCAGACTAAGGTTATGGTCTGACATGCATGAAAGTGTCAGAGGAGGGATACTGAACAGCAGACAGAAATTAATTTGCAAATACAAATACGAGAGCTGAAGACCAATCCAGTGATAAAACAGTATCAGGATATAAGAGGAGACTTCTGGAAGTCACATGCAAGGTGCAGCCAACTGGTGGGAGAGAGAAGTATTTGCTGTCAGGCTCTATTGTAATGTGTGAAATGCTTTGAGATTCTGGATGGGAAGTAACTGTAGAACATAACACCTGTCACATCTTCGTCACTTAAAATGATTGCTAAAATATATCCTTTAAACAAGATTACTTCAGTTTTCATGTAACACAGACTCTGTATGAAACAGATGAAGATAAACCGGAAACAATTTGATGAATCTGATTTATACGTGCATGTTGATGAAGTAATTTATGTTGTCTGGCATTTTCTTTAGGAGATACAATACTTAGTCTTTGCCCTGAAGAGTTAACAGTTGAAAGACAGGACCTGATCAGTGAGAAGGCAACAATCTTAACATCATTCATCAAACTATAGCACTGCAAGGCATACAGTCCAGGTGTCCAGTGTCTAACTGGGAAGTCCTATTTGTAAGCATACTACCTCTCTGTACCCAGACTGAACTAGCAAATGCCATCTACCTTACCAATTATAATGCATCATTTGGAAAATACACATGTAACAAAATATTGGCGATCTGGCTAACACACAAGATCGTTCCAGAGATAAGTCTAGTGCTTTAAAAGGGATTATTTCAAGTAAATGAAATTCCGCGTGGAGAATCACATTTGTGCAGGAATGTGCGTGTTGTGTAGGAATGAGATTGCTCAGAATAGAACTGATCCGAGGGCTTAGGTTGTTAGGTGGAGCACCTAACAAGATGTCTGGTTCTCTGGTATTGTATTAGATGAAAGATGGCATTAGTATTCCATCTATTTTTCAAAAACATACATTGGAATTACAGTTATTTAAGATTTAGATTAAATCATTATGGATGTTAACAAAAGATACTGCATTTCCACCCCTCAACAAAAAAAAAAAAAAAAAAACAAAACCAAACCCAACACAAGTTAAAAACTTTCTGTGTTTAGATTTTTACTCATGCAGTCTAGGTGTGCTTTCAGGAGTCCTTCCTCCTTTCTTTTATAGCCATAAACATAATAACTTGCCAAGTTGTTATCCTGAGAACCCAATTTGCATAACTTTTAAGTTATACTTAACTTTCTCTGTAACCTGTGATTACTCTCAGTGCTAACAACAAATCTATGTGTATTTGTATCATGGCAGTTCCCAAATTAGACCAAATAATCAAGGTGCAAAAATAACACCCAGAGGTCTGCCTGATCCATATGTTAATCAGAATGGAATTTATATTATCCTCTTGCAACATAACAGATTCAGGGAAGCAGTACTGTACATAGAGGCTCAGCCACACCTAAACCAGAAAGTCCTTTCTCCTGATCCCTTTTGTTGTTGTTGTAATCAAAAACCAGTTAAAGTAGGCAACACATAGTGACAGAATCGTGGCCTTCAAGATTCCAGTGTTAATGCATCTTTGATTCTTTGAGACAGCATCCTGAAAGAGTGTGAGCAAGATCTGTGTTGTTGAAGGAGCCAATCAGGGACAGAAGTGAGAGAAAAATCTGTTGAGAGCCAGAGTGATCCCATATGCACTAATGTTACTGCAAAGATAAAATTTGGGTCAGAGGGGAACTTAAATTGAATATTCAAGTTAAGCACATCAAGCCTTCAGTAGTATAACATAAGAAGAAGATAATGACAAGAAAAATCAAAGGTGTTGGTGAAGTGGAAGACAATGGTATACTGAATTGAAAGGAGGGGGGGGAAGATAAAATTAGTATCAAAGATTAAGTGGTAACAAAGCAGTGGGAGAGTTAGCAATGGTAATGTCACTGAGTCTGAGAGCATGTCCATAGAGTATCGGAGGAACCACAGTCACAGTGAGCTCTCAGAAGCGAAGAATGAGAAGTTAGCACAATTACATTTGTTTTCCCATCCACAGGACTCTGGGGAGCTCCAGTCACTAAAGTGCTCACTCTGTGATTTCTGTGGTCAGCGTGCAGGAAGCCGAAGATCACAAATAGGTAATTGCAGCTGAAGTAGTTGCCGGTTATTTGGAATATGAGCCTCTATGCAGATATTTTAAGGGGGTGTGGGGACTAAGTAATGTGAAAACAAATCGAAAACCGTTCTTGGCACTTACTTGCAGGCTAGTCGCAGCGTGTTTCTTCCAGTAAATCATACGTGAGGCAGGCACAGAGAGACACTGGGCTTGTGGTAAGTGCAGTCATTGTCCCAGCATTTTATCCAGCCTAATGTTGACAGTAGTTACTTTAATGTAGTGCTCAGAAACAGTGGTAGTGGACCAGAACCCCTTGTGATAGGTGCTGTACAAACCCTTTAGGCTTTGGGTAGCTCTTCAGAACTAAACCATGTGACTTACAAGCTTATGTCTCATTTTAAGAAGTGATTCAGGCACTTGGCTGCTGTTCTCCCATTGAATTAATTTCCTTTCCCTGTTTGGCAGATAACAGAAGTCTTTCCTATTTGCACAGTCCGACTGCTGCCTTCTTCAGCTCACTGGTTTTCCAGTTTTTTCTCAAAGGTATGAAGAATATATCATATTTCCATGGCCAGGATCACCAGGCCTTGGTACTGGGGGGTGGTTGGTTGTTCTGCCAAAAGTGTTAATGTGTTTTCTGCTGTTCATATGACTTAGCTTCTCCAGCTGGTGCAAGTGCCTTTGATGTCAGTTGACCTACATAAGCGGAGAGCAATTGAGGGAATTCCTAATATGTTTGAATTTAATGTTTGTATCTTCATGATTCTGAATATGGTTGCTCTTTTTTTTTCCTATTGTCAGTCTTTTTTACTTTTGAAATCACTTCAACAGTCCCTGAAGCTTGTGTAAGTTCAGAGAGGCTGCTGTCTGTTTTAAACTGAGGTGAATGTGTGATTCTGAGATTGAATAATTGATGATTAAGTTGGGTATTAGAGACAACATCTCTGTTCCCTTTCTGAAGCTGTTGGAATTGCTGGAAAAATCATTTTATGCTGCAATCAATGTGGCTATAATGATAATAGTTCACTTGATATCAAAGCTTTTGCAAGCTGTTCGTATGAAGATCTAGTTAACCAAAATTAATGGTGGTATATGAGCTACTTCAAATTTTTAAAACTATTAAGTTATTAAAAAGAGAATAATTTTCCAAGGAAATGGGAATAGTAATCTAATTGCAACAGGCTACAGTAGAGGACTGAAATGTAAATGGACCTTCAGTTAAGAGAATGAATGAGTTCATCTCTGAATTAATTCATTATTATGTGACTTAGATTTTATACACAAATGCAACATATATGTTGCATGTTGGCAGTACATTACGTATGTGAGAAGACTTTTTTCAGCTGAGGGCATTGTGGTTATGCTTTTCTGCTTTTGCTTTAAGAATGTTTGACAAGAGATGGGGGTAAAAAAACCTATCCCTGAGGGACTGTGCATCCATTAGGAGGCAAATTGGCTACCTGGCTTCTGCTGAGCTGCTTAACCCTATTTAAAGCCCCTAATGAATACTGCAGTACTCTTACTTCTAGGACTGTATTTTTGATCTGTGAATCACCTTCCCAAGTTGCCAGTGATTTTTTTCTAAGAAACCTGAAAAGCAGGGGGGAATTATCTGTTTAACTGTTAATGACAGACACCAGTGGAAGTGGGATATCCAGGAATTAATTTTTAAAGACAGGTTCATTAATGCACAGAGAAATAACCCCAGTGGCCTTGCCAAAAAGAAAGCTAATGTGTCGAACTAATGCAGTAGTGGCACTGATGTTCATCTCTGAAAAAATGCTGTTCCACAGTATGCTTTTTCCTGTGGCTATCCCCTTCCTGTCACTTCTGTTTATTCAGAAAAGGGCTATTAACATTATTTTCACCTTCTGCAATGACCAGTTCACCCGTCCACTCTGTTGCCTCCTGTTGTTCGAAGTCTAGTGTAGTATTTCTTAGTATTTCTCCCTTTTTGTATCTCTGATCTTGTTTCATCCCAGCAATTATTTTGTCTCTCAGCCCATGTTCTTGTGTCTCTTTTGTGCTTGGCTGCTTTTACCACCACTGGTTTTATGCACCTGGCCAAGCCTAAGATTTTTTTACCCTTTGTCTGCCAGAAGACATCTCTGTCTATGCCTACAAAAAACCCTTATAGCAGAGGCAAATATCTCTTTGCAGAATCAAAACCACTCTGTGACAGCAAACTCTTGAAAGGACTACCTAAAGGTGTTCAGGTGTAAATCACAGGAATAATCGTGTCTGTTGGGAATTGGGGAGTGTTTGCTTTTTTCTGAAGTATTTGAGATCGGTCACCAGTAAATTGGCCATGCTGTTGCAGTGAAACAGTAAGCTAAAGCCATCAACTGAAGACCTTTTTTTGCAAATATTTTTAGCTGTTTCTTGCTGTTGTTACCAGTGTTAACATCTGGGCTTCAATAACTTCTTTTTCACTAGCCAGCCTGGCAGAAGTTTTGATACCCCCCCTCCTTCTGGGTGTGGTGTGCCTGTCGGGGTTATCTGAGCGTGATTCAGCGGGCCCCAGAGCACAGCTCTTCCAGTGCCTCGGTCTTGTAGCATTTATGGTTCATGGCAGGCGTCATTTAGACTTGTCACAGCGGAGATACTCCGGGATTTACACACTGAACTCTGAGCGCTGATAATGGAGTGCTGTTGGTGGGAAGCAGGCTTGGCTATAGCTGCAAGCCCTAGGGAGCTCGTTGTGCCCTGTGTGAGCCCGGAGCAGGAGGGTGCAGCTCTGACTCGGTGCCCCGTTTGGCCGGGTTCGGGGTTCAGTGCATCCTGTCCGTGTCCTGGAGCACCTGGGAATGAGCTGCTGTGCCCTGCCCGAGAGCCCCACCACCGTCACTGCCGTACGGCTTGGGCAACCCAAAGCACAGGCTGCCACCACAGCCTGTTGTCCCCTGTAACACAGGGGGCCTGGGGGCAGGGGTACAGGGGCGCGTTCCTCGGGGGGGACCGGGCAGCGCCGCGGGGGCCCCTTTCCTCGCATCTGAGAGGCGGGCGGCCACCGAGCAGCTTCGGCGGCGCTTTGCTGAGAGGGGGGCTGAGGGACGGGGGCTGAGCCCGGACCCCTGCACCCCAGGGCCCCCCAGGGACGGGCCCCTGCGGGACACGGATGCGGAGGGAGAGGCCGCTCCCGCCCTACCCTTGCCCACCCCGTCCCTCTCCC